ATTGTTTATACTGTTTGTAATGTATATTGTTTGTTGGGGTTTTTTTAAGATAAAGAGTATGTCATGTACAAATCCTTGATGGCTTAATAATGATGCCATTAATTAGTTAAATGAAACGGTACAAGTGATAAAGCTTTTCAAATGGAAATTTCTTTACTGCTACAGTAACTTGAACTGTTTGGATATCTTTTTTTTCTTAATATGTACATTCCTGAAGTCTTCACATTCCTGTTCTTCATAGAGGCATTCATGCTTTAAATACTGTGACTATTAAAATCCTACAGGACGTATGAAAGTATATCTTTTCTAAGTCTTTGCAAGATTATATACCCAAGAGCTTTTAAAACTTAATTTCCAAAATAATCCCATTCATTACATCAGAACAGCAGCATATGGAAGAGAAGCCACATGGACTAGATTTCTTGAATGGTACAGGATTTCTGCATGTGTCAGGCAACAGCCTTTAAGTTCTTCATTTCTTTTAGTGTACTTAGCCATTACTTTGAGAATGCAGCCTTTTAGTGGATCTGAAACATCTATATTTTTTTCTTTTCCTTCGTATGAAATAGGAATCCAATGCAAAGGGATAAATTTGGCTCGTCTGCAAGGCAGGATATGCACACTGTCTAAACATAGGCATGTTACAGTCAGCAGGGGCTTTTGAGGGCAATTACAGTGTTTCATTTCTGAAAAACCTTTCAGAGGCTTAATTAGCCAGAGCACCTAACAGTAGATACCAGAAGTCAAATAGCTAAATTTACTTACCCACTTAGCAGTGTTCCTTCAGAGTACTAGTAACTATTACTATTATTACTATAGAGTTAGTAAATTTAACAATACTGTAACTTAGTAGCAGTAACATAATTGGTAAAAACATTTGTTCAGTTTAGACCATTCCATTGGTAAGCTTCCTGAAACAAAAATATTTAGGAACTGTATTTGACATAAAAGCTATAGGCAGGCCTTTCAGAACCACTGCAAACCTGAAAATGTGTATTATCTCCTCAGTTCTGACATCCCTTTCTTTGCTGTTCTGTAAATTGGTTGAGCAAAGGGTAGTGCTTGGACCTTTGTGTATCTCAGCTGAATTTATGTAATTTATCAGCCTTCTCAGACCAGTACATATGACGGGTAGGTTTTGGTAACAGAAAAGCAATCCAAGTCCTCTCTGAGAGTTAGTAGCATGTTTTGCTTCTGCTGAACTAACCTTCTTCAGTGTGAAGTAGGTGTAGTTTGGCCACTTAGAATCATAGTAACCCAGGTAGCCTGCAGCCTGCCTACTCACATGCCCTTACTCTAGGACCTTAAACCTTCCCCACCTAAAAGTCAGGTGCTGCATCATTATATGTACAGACCTGCACTAGTCATGCCCTGTTGGCTACGTGCTAAGGGCATGCCTGCTCACGTGACAAAAGAAATCTTTTCATTTAAGAGAAAAATGTGACCTATGATGATCAGGCTTGGTGAGAATAGAGATTACTAGAAGAGTGCAAAGGCATACAGGCATTGCCACCTATGATTGTGTAGTAGGCACAGATTAACACTTTCAAATTCAATAAGTGATTCTGGTTTTGGATAGGCTTCAGGTAAGGTGGTGACTTTTTTTTTAAGGAGGCACAGAGAATTTACTTTCCCAAACTCGTATTCTTTGTAGATATTTGAACTTTGAAACCAAAAAACTTTAGGCAACCAAAATTACAGGTCTTGTTGTGAGCCCTAGCCACCTGCTAGTACAGTGTTGTCATTTTGGCTCACAAAGATAAGCGCCTACATTCATAATTTGGTCACATAAAAGATGGTTTGACTTAAAATACCTAAGCAACTAGTGTCACAGGAACAACTCTTCTGAAAATTTTAATTGATATCTGGTACAAGGTATTTCAATATGAATTTTGAGCATTTACCTTTGCTTCTTCATACTAGGGTTCCTACTTGTGACATATGTGCTACATGTGGATTTTTAATTAATTTTGGGTTGCACTGTGTAATTTCTCTGGAGGCTTTTTTTTTTTCTCTTCAATGCTCAGGACAAAAAAAAAAAGCACACAACAGATCTTGCTCATTTCCCTTTCTTTGCTTTTGTTTTACAGGAGACACATGAAATTGTCGCTATCAAGAAATTCAAAGACAGTGAAGGTAACCTTTTCTGCTGTATAATCTTTCATGTCAGTAACTATCTTGTTAATATCTCTCCAGCTAAAATAAGAAGTCTCATCTATCAAGACCTGATTTTAAAATTATAATGATTTATTAGCTCTGTGAATATTTAAGGCACTTGATCTTTCATGCATGCCTAGGGACTGCATTATATGCTCCAACTAGATAACTGCCTTTCTGTCTTGGTGCATCTATCTTAACATGACAGAGATTGCAGTGAATAAGATCTAAGATCTATAAGATCTAAGGTCTAAGATCAATAAGATCTACCACTCGGAGACCAGATGTGATCAGAAAATGGCAAAATCCCCTCTTGTAGTAGTGACTTCCAGAGTTTTTGGGCTTTATTACTCTTCATCTGTGGGAGGGGATGGAAATGTTAGGAGAGGGGCTAAATGGAGAAGACCAAGAGAAGTCACTGGGAAGTTCAGTGATACGGAGAGGAATCGAGGAGTACTCGGGGATCCATGGGGAGGATTTGAGGGAAGCTGGATGGTGAGGCAGCAACTTTGCCGTCTCTTCAGCAGGCTCCACTCTCCACTGGAAATGCTCTTTTCCCTTTCACAGAAGCCTCTGTACTCTCCAGTGTTGCTGATTTTGCTGAGAAGGGGGAAGAGCTGACTCCTGCGAGGCTTGTTGTTGCTGGCAAAGTGGGTGGCATGAGGCAGGACACGTAGAAATTCTTGTCAGTGCTGCACACACCTGTTCCTCACCCAGCAGTAGTAAAACCAAAGATCTGTACGAGACAGGACTGGCTTTCTGACCTCAGCTTATTGAGGGACAGTGAATCCCAGTTTCCTATCCTAAGCAAAGCTGGCAATCAACCATGTGAGCATCTGTCTATTTTGCACACATCAGAAGTCAACCCTGATCCCTAGTGACCTAAAACAAACAGAAGGAGAAGCCCAATATGGAGTAATGAAAGGAGTCATCCCGATCTGAGGCAATGCAGCTATGATTTGCCATATACCAAGGCTTTAGCTGAAAGCTAACAATGTGGTTTACAGAAACGGCAGTCACTTTTTAGTTTTAGCAAACTTTTTTGTTGTTGTTATAGGATTGCTGGTGGCCATAGAAGTGTGGTTGGTTACAAGGACTGTAATTTTAAGAGTCAGTTAGATACAGCAGTCTCTGATTTGAGTCTCTTTACACAGTGCAGACTCTGTGCTATGCAGCTGATTTTGTCAGACACTTGAAGAGCATATTTTTTAGCTCTGCTGTTCAGAAATCTGTTTTAAATCCCCATTAAATAATGTAGGAGATAATATCATTGTGGTGACAATCTTGACCAGGTCATGTGAGTACTTAAGAATTACTCTTTGAAACTCGATATGACTATTCAGTACAGATCCTAGGCAATGAATCTCAGCAAGAAGCCCTAAACAGGATTATTACATTAGCTTGTCTACCAAAAGATGAAAACACAAAAATGTCACATTGTCATTAGGTCTGGCTTTCCAAGAGTATTATGTAATATCAGTTTACATGATTGATGAGTGCTTTTCAGAGTTGTAGCTGGTTGTTTACAAGTTTCTGGAAAATACAACAGAAGTTCTTTTGATGGATTGGATTCAGCCCATTTCACATCTGTCTCATTAATATGGTAGTTCATTAGAAATCTGAATATACTGTAATTGTTTCTGTTGCCATTTTTTGTTTCACTTAATTTTTTGCTGTTCGACATATGCATGCTAAATGCACTGGAAAGAGTGTATCTAGCTAAAGATGAAATAATGTAATCTTTGCTAGTGCAAGCCAACACCAACCCCTCAGTTTTAAAATTAAATTATTTAGATTGCTCTAAATTATATATTTTTTAATCAAAACATTTGTGATGATAGTATCTTGTCTTCCTTTTCCCTCCTGCTATACTTCATTTTTTTTTTTTCCCCCTCTCTTCTGATGATGATTTTATGTGTTTGCATGACCTGTTTTATTCTTTCTCCCCTGCAAGCTTGATTTTGCCTTTTGTTTGACCAGAAATTTCCTTGTTTCCTCTTCCTCTGATTGTCTGTGGTACATGACCTGCAAATGTGATTCAGCTTAAAACTTAGGCAGTCATATCCCTTTTAATATTGCTGTGTTGTGGATAAAAAGTCTAAAAGATTAAGAACCCTGCTTGTACATTTTTATGGGCACATTTAGGGAATTACTGCATTTCATTTTATTAAATGAAAAATAAACCCTAATGTAATCTAGTTCATTTGACATTTCATTAGTAGTATCCTTTAGAACCCAGTCAGTTCACAGCCCCTTGATGATAAGCAGTTTATGAAGCTTTAGTAAAACAGTCCTCCTTTTTTGAACAACTTTCAGACAACTAAAGTGTCAAATCAATAGTTAAATTTCTTGACTTCTCAGAATCTGATTCAACGCTTCATTGAATCAGTACTTGCTCTGCTTCCCTCTACAGCTGCTTCACTGGTCTGCATTGCTGAATTACCATTGAAAACCTCATGAGGAAGCTTACAGGACTTACAAATCTGTCAGTCTAAAAAATTGTCATGGTTTTTTGGGAATAAAATTATCTTAGAATCAAATAGACTTCTCTGACATTGTTAAAGCCAACCTTTCCATTCCAGGGTTCCTTCTGAGGAAATATTAGCCTTGCCAGCACCTCATGCATGTGACATTTGTGGGGTGGAGGATGTGTCTGTACACATATCTGCATATTTTTTTGAAGCCTATTAGTGCCCTTCATAATGAAGAAGATAGAAATGCAAACAATTTGTTTCTTATGACTTTTTCTGCCATTGAAAATGTTGATGGTAGTGACAGGAAGCCTGTGAGGGTTGCATAATGATAGCACAGTCACCAGTTACCTCTCTTTCAGTGCAGAAGCATCCAGGCAGCAGAGTCCACACTGCAGAATAAGGCTTTTTTTCTCTGTAATAACTAGAAACAGCGAATTTAATCAGGAGTTTGAAATGAAGATTTATAGCGCACATTACTTGTGGGGGGTGTTTTGGTTTTTAATAAGTTTTACACTGTCGCTTCTACTTTGCACTCTAGAAAATGAAGAAGTCAAAGAAACCACTTTACGAGAGCTTAAAATGCTTCGCACTTTGAAACAGGAGAACATAGTGGAGCTGAAGGAAGCCTTCAGAAGAAGAGGAAAATTATACTTAGTTTTTGAATATGTGGAAAAAGTGAGTTGAGTTTGTACTATCCTTGCCACAATTAAATCATCAGCTTTCTAGAAAAGTCTATAAAATATTTTTACTTCTGAAAATTAAACTGCTCTAATCTATAAAGAGGGACTTTTAGAGAGCAAAAACTTTTAATACAATCTGAATTGTTGTAATTAGATATTTGTTGTGAGGAAGCAACACTGATAACTTTACGATTGTTTTTACTTCATGTGTTGGTATTTATAAAAACAAATGTTCTATATAAGAACACAAACATGTTCAAATTCTGTAATCTGGAATACATATCATTTGAAGAAAAAAATTCCTTCCAAACTTCATAGTCCAGTTTAATTGTCTAATAAATCTTGACGTAGTCTTTCAAAACAAAGTCACAGACTTTCAACCGTCAAATCTTTTCAGCTTTCTCGGTCCTTTCCTGTTAAAAGTAGAAATTGTTTGTATATTTCTGCAACAAGGCCACTATCAACAGTTGCTTAGAGGGATTTGGCAAAGATCACTGTCATCATCTCAAATTCTGACCTCATTTGAAATAAATCCAAAATTTCCTTAGACTGGCCTACTACTGCCAAACATCCTGGTGTGTTTCCAGGGAGAAACCTGGAACAGATTGGTCTTCTGTTATTTTTGCAACCTTTGTGATGAAGGTAGACCTTCCCTCTGAATACTAAACCATTTATCATTTCTTCATGGAAATAATTGCGTAGTATTTGCATACACACAATCAAAATACACAGAAGCATAAATATGTGTATCTCTGTAGATTCCATGAGATATTGTTCCCTTGATGGAAATTTTCATTTAATACCCTGCCAGTATGATGTTGCAGTCTAGCTGAGTGCTAGTCCTCTTCAGTCAAGTCTCGTATAAAGATTCCTCAACCTAAATGTTGTGTCTTGTTTTCTTCAGTTTACAATTTATTATGTCATATAATTTTATTGCATATTGTGAGGTGACCTATATTAGCCCGTGGTTTGGCAGAATTCACTTCTTTTTTTCGCCAGCAGATGAGCAACGAATGTGGTGGGTCTTATTTGGATCTAACATCCAAAGCTTGACTTGTTCCACCCATGTTCCTTGCAGTTGTTCCAGACACGTGAAATGTCCTTGATCATGCACCAACTTAGAACATACATTTAATTTTCTATTATAGTTGACTTGGCTAAGCTCTCTGTAGTGGTGGGTTGAAAGAGCAGTGTAAGTTAAAGACATTTAATTGATCTGATAAGGACCGTACTTCAAAAATTGTTAATATTGTTAAAAACACTGGGCTGCAATTTCTAACATTATTTGCATCAGGATAAAATAGTACAATGATAAAGATGGACACCATGTATAGTTTGTGCCTGATGTGCTTTTTATATTAATGTTTACCTTTGTTTTCACTTAAACTTTGCAGTCCATGAACATTTTTCCTATTCAGATATGTTAAATAGTTTCCACAATAGTTTCTCTATTGTATGAATAGGATGGATGATTCGAGGACCAGGATGAATGATTTCTGTATTTTTGGATGAGGGAAGAGTAGAAGGAATTAAATAAAAAAAAAAATTTAGGCTAATTTTTGCTTTAACTGGTGATGAGCACCTTGTGTCCTTCGGGGAATCTTAGCTCTAAAATCCAGATTATTTAAATTCACATTTAGTCTAATCTCCTTTATTCATCATCCATTTACTTAATGTGTTCATACAGGATTATGTCTGGCTTTGTGGATGGTACTATTTTGGTTCATATTTGTAACACTAACTTCTTGACTTACTTAACCAGATCCACATGCTTCTTTGTGGATAGGAGTGTAACTAATGTCAATATGGTTCCTTAACAGAAAATTCTTTCTCAGATCTGAAGTGTGTTTCTAAGGAAACTTATACTCAAGCCCTTCAGTTCCAGTATTTATTTACAGATTGTAAAACTTAGAAATGTTCTGGCCATTATTCATTCAGAAATCAGAGTGCAAACTCCATTGCATTTCTAATTGTGCAAAATTGCAGACATTGTCTAACATAATGGAAATCTTGAGTGTCCTCTTTCAAAGAGGAAACTTGCTAATATAAACAAACAGTTTATTTTCTTTCTTAGGTATATCCTTAAAACAGTTACTATGGCCATAGTTACTGTAGTGCAAATATGTCTAAGATCAATATACCTGATATATAGTTATAGGATACTCCCTAGGTTAGGATTTATGCCCCCATGAGGCATTTTTATATCTGATAACTTCATTTACTCTAACAGGCTTGTGTTGCTTTAACTACATACAGACAGAGTTTGTGATTAATCATGGCCCTGCTATGTCAAAGCAGCAGAACTAACTTAATAATGAAGAAAACAGAATGTTAAAGCACAGTCATATCGTAGAATCATAGAATGGTTTGGCTTGAAAAGGACCTTAAAGATCATCTAGTTCCAACCTGTCTGCCACCGGCAGTTGGACATTGACACTGAACTGGTGTTTCTATTTAAGCAACTTTTTGTAACTAAATGACTTTTAGAATAAGTGGTGTGATGACAGTCTTTTAAGGACTTGTGGTATATTTGTGGTTCACCTTTAAGGATTATTGTCTTTACGCATGCTTTCTCTTGAATGAAAACAGCTAGTAGTACGCTCACAATTAGAATACACTCCTTAAATGTTAAACTACTGCTTTTGCATAGCCAGGTTCAGTGGCCTGAGTGTTGCTTCAGAATGCTGAAACCGTGTTATCTTCTAGCAACTGCAATATAACCCTCTAAAATAATGTGTCTTTTAAACATTTAGAATATGCTTGAATTGCTAGAAGAAATGCCAAATGGAGTTCCACCAGAAAAAGTGAAAAGCTATATTTACCAGCTAATTAAAGCAATTCATTGGTGCCATAAGAATGATATTGTTCATAGAGGTGAGTAGTTCTCAACATGGAAATAAGCCCTGGGTAGGAATTTGCTTTCTAAGGGGAAAGATGTTACAACTTGAAGTAATTTGCATTTAATAGAAATATAAGCAATGGCTTTATATAAACAGGGAAAAAAAAAAATCTGTAAATTTGGCTAGGTCTTAAGTCTGCTGTATGATTTCAGACCTTTGTAAAACTAAATTCATGTACATATAAAGCTTGCTGTCCCCTGTTGTTGGGGTATGATATAAAGATTGTATCATATACACAGTGAAGTGAAACTACAGTACAGACACTGCCAAAGGAAAAGGAATTCTTTTAAACTATTCATGGTGCTCAGTCATTTCACTTTTGAATCTGATACTAGAGTTTTAGGAGAAAAATAACCCAAAACTTAAAGCATGGTCCCCCATGTTTTACTTCTTATGGCAATTCCTCCCAGCTCCCCTGAGTTCATCTCCGTATGTTTACTTTCTCTCCTGAGCTTCAAGCACTTAGAGTGCATGTTTTGATGAGTGACTTTATCTACTTTTATGTTTTTTATCCTGATTTAATCAAATTGTATTTTGTTTTATGGCTTCAAAAGAGTAACATTTCTAATTAGTGTTTCCAAGAAATAAAAATTCTCATACAACATGAGAATTTAAGACTGATCAAACATAAGCAGGAGTATGAAAAGATTTTTTTAAAAAAAAATAGTTTGAAAAATATGCCATATATGGATACCACAATATCCATATTGGAATTAAAAAGTGGGCTTAACGCTAGACAACATTTTTTTTCTAAACAAATGACAAAAAGTCATCAAGAAGGTCCTCGTGACTGAAAATGCTGAACCCAACACACTTAATAGATTTTACTAGTTAACTAGGTAATTAAATGTCAGTTCTTTGTATTATTCTGCAATACACAATATTCTGCATATTGGATTGCTGTCCAGAAATAGCTGTAAGCACCTTTTCCCATATTTTGTTGGGAAATGTTTTAAAAGGCTTCAAAAGTCAGGAAATTAATTCTACGTGTTCATAAAGTGAATTGCTGGAAGCTGTTTCAGCAGTTGCTCTTGTGCTGTTTCACTTAATGATTGCATGAATATCTGTAAATATGTTATAATGAAATAATATTTGCTGAAAAATTTCAAAATTAAAAAGAGAAGTTAACAGCATTTTTTTTGTCTCTCACTTTGGTACTCCAGATATCAAGCCAGAGAATCTCTTAATAAGCCACAATGATGTTCTGAAGTTGTGTGACTTTGGTAAGTTCAGTGGGAAGATACCTGATTTCTGTCTTTTTAAAGAAAAACTCTTGCAGTGGAGTTCTACCTTATTCTGACAGGAGTTCCAGTATATGTACTGTTTAAAACCCTTTTAGTGGTCAGAATTGATTATTTCTTCAGGTTTGTGGCTAGTACTTTAATTTGAAAGTTATCTGGACTTAATTTGCATACCCTGTAAAATACCTGTATTGACATGTCAGTAGAAATGCTGCATTTTTGTCTTTTTGTCTTGGACAAAGTTTTTACTAGCAGTGTTATTGGCACCCAGCTGAGAACAATGAAGGTGAGAAACTGATTAGGAAGCTAGCGAAACTGTCTAAAAAAAATCTGGCCTCTGTATTAAACGAAAAGATAATTCTTCCTTGTTTAGTAAAGACACAATATATATATTTTTTAACTACTGGCTTTCATGGACTGATTTGCATGTAGTTACAGGTCAACTTTTACTGTTACATTAAATAAGGAATCATGTGTCCTCATATGATAAATGACTGAATGGCTGGAGGTTAGAGTTAGAATTCAATATGTAATATAAAATCTGATGTTTCCTGACCTATCAATACCTGTTTAACATCAGCTTTAAGGCTTTGAAGAATCAGCACCCAAGCAGAAGCCAAATTTGCCTATGTGAGTAATGCCCATAAGACAGCAGGGTGGAGTGTATGCTGTTCCAAAAAATCTGTATTTTTCTTCTAAATGCTACATAAACAGCGAATAAAATATTGTTCCCTCTAAAAAGCTTAGAGTTTGGCTTGGTAAATAAAAAACAATTCCATAGTGCTACCCAAGGGCACTTTTCAGTTAGAGCAGTCTGAAAGCTGTCATTTCAAACCACTGCAATTTTGAATGAAAAGAAGTGCTAAAAAAATAGATTGAAAAAGGTTTTTAGGAACACTGTGCTTGCCATTTGTAGTGCTGCTTATTTCTTTTAATCCTAAAGGCATTTTTGCTTAAGCATTCAGAAACAATAACCATTCTAGGAAAAGTCTTAGAAGATTTGGTCCATACCATATGGGTTCTTTGAATTAAGGGCAATTTATTCTGCAGTGTCAGGAACTGCACAGCTCTGACAGAACACCAGGGTACTGTTGCATGGTGCCCTCGGTGCCTTTGCCTTTTCAGTCTCCATAGACTTCTGTCTGCCCCGCTGGGGCCCCCTCCTTGGCAGCTCTGTGCCCAGGCTGCCCTGGCACCATTGCCCAGAGCTGGTGGGGAAGGATTTTTCCTTTACCCTAGGCTTATTTTCAGAGCCTCGCCCTAGCAAAGCACACCCCACTGGGGTTGGCATGGACAGGGCTCTCCCAGTGGGGTGAAGGCTGTTGTTCTGCACACCTTGCTCCCTCTTGTACCAGCTTTGGGTGCTTAGGGGACCCGTTTGCTGCCTTGCACAGAGCTTCACAACCAATGTGTGGGCAGTGCCTGCCCCTGGCCAACGTGTGCTCCAGTGGGGCTAACAGCATTACAAATGGGTACAGCCAGTGGGGATGTGAGTGAGTCCTCATGGGAGATATTCACCCGTACCTTCTTACCTCCTTATGAGCCTTCCCTGATCATCACCCTCCCTCCCTTGTTTCTTTTTGCTATCCACTGAAAGTAACATTCTACATTAGAGTTGGCATATTCCATCAGCTAAAAAATGTCACGTGTGAACTTGCGTCAACATCCTCTGCAGCAGTATTATAGCAAAAAGCTGAACAAATGGTTCTGGATGTCAGTTTGCTCACTAGATGCAGATGATGTGATTTCTGCTAGCAGTGATGTTCTGTGTGGTCCATTGACTGTCTCAATGCTGTGTGCTCCAGCCATGCTGCCTTTCTGCTGTTGGACAACACATGCGATCAGAATGTCCTCACAGTGCTCCACACAATCTCGAGGAAGGCAAACTAAGTTATGGGAGTTTCTGTTGTGCTTACTGTTCATGTGGGCGAGTTTGAATTTTGATCAACGTTTCAGATTTATTTGTATTTAAAATTCCAAGTAACTCGTACGATTTGGGAGTAATCTATTTTATCAATATTAATTTTATGGTGTTATTGCTAGGAGCTTAAACTGTTACTGTAAAATGGCTGTCAGAATGGAATTAGCCACAAATGTTTCCTGAACACATAAAAATTAGCACATAAAAACTTGCCTTTTAACATGATTTAACATATGCTGTCTGCCTACCTAACTTAATGTATGTTTTGGAACACAGGTACTTGTCACATACAGTGCCACATTCTTCATGTCATAACAAATGCAAAGAAGAGGTCTATGTGTCCATCCCAATGCAGAAGTTGAAGTGACTGGATATTTCTAAACAACCCCAGTGGACAAAACAGTTTAAATAGAAAAGTTAATAATTTTTTAACAGGATAGTTCTTCATAATCCTTGTGCTATGTGTTCTGAACAAATCGTGCTAGTTAAAATTGAGACTGAATGTGGTGCTTGCCTGGACACATGTTGTGTGGGTGTCATTTCTGCCAATAGAACTGGAAAAAGAGAACAGTACCAAATGCCGATTACAGCAGATGCATCTGACTTTTGGAAATAGGCTTTCTGACTAGTGTGTTTGCTATTTCAACACCAGGGCTTTGAGATTACGTATTTTAGCAATCTCTTAATCTCTGTATGATATGTAAGCATAGAAATGTTGAAACACAGGACTGGAAAAGACCTCAAGAAATTTTCTAGTTCTTCCACCTACTCGAAGAAAGGAATAAGCATGTCTGTGTCATTCTTGACAGGTGTTTGCTTAGCTTATTCTTCAAATTCTGAATAATGGAGGTTCCCTGGTGTTCCTAGGCATCTATGAAAGTACTCAAGTCATTATTGCTAGAATGCTTTACTTTGTGTAACTTAAATTTGCCTTATTTCTCTCTAAGAAACTAACAACCTTCTCCTTTTTTTTTTTCCTTAAGATCTCTCCTGCCCTGTTCTGAGTTGTGTAAAGTCTTTTTTTTACATTTCTTATTTCATTTGCTCTCCCTTCTTACATCATGATACATGTGGAAACTATTGCTTTCATATTTGCTCACACTCAAATCACCTTCTGTCTTCATCTCCTAATCCATTCCTCCCACTGTTTAGAGTTTAGCCTTACCTTCTCCCTAGTTACCTTCTCTTATTTTTGTATCAAAAAATTCTTCCCAATACTGCAACACAATTTGGAGGAAGGAACAATATGCTAATTATACCATGACAAAAAAAGTAGTTGTGCCCTTAAAAAGATATTAGGCTTTCTTGAATTATTAATTCTGTCCATCATCTTGCAGCATGGTGCCTTCGAGTCAGAGCAGTAGTGAATCCATAAAATGGTTTCTTATATCACCCAAGAATATGTAGATGACACTGAAAGCCATGATGATAATTTTCCCTTCTGTAAGGTTCATTAAACTCTATGGGAAGAGATCAGAATTATTATTTTGGAACAACTTCAGAATACCTGTTTCTCATCATACATGCCTTTTAGTTTACTAACTCTTGAAGGCAGAGGTATCTTGCAAAAAGTAACAGCTGTAACCTTTGTCAGTAACAAATTTATCACTGTTCTCTGAAATCACTCGTCTGATAATAATTTGCATCCAAAACTTTACTTCAGCTTGGAGTAAATTAGTATTCCACAGGGGTGAGTGAGGCTGGGCTTCTTCACCCTACAATGTCAAATGAGACACACTTTCAGAATACTAAAAATTTATTTTTATTTTTTTTTTATTTACAACCTTACAAGCATAGCTGTGTGGGAAAAGTGACTGGCAGCTTCTGCATAAGAACATAGGATATCAAGAAAAATGACTTTTGCATTTAAGTATCATTTACTGATTCTGAAAATGAAATTATGCCTTATATATTTGCAACACAGGGGTTTTTATTCCTTCTTCATCACTCATGCAATAATGAACTCAGTGATTTCACTGAAGTGAATTTTGACACAAGTTTTAATGCCACATCCCACTAAGTGTTTTGAAAATGTTGCTTCTGCATTTCTGTCATAAAAATTTGTCTTGGTTTGATCTCTAGTATGGAGCCTACACATCTAGAGCCTTGCTGCTAAGATCTGTCTATCCTCAGCCTCACCTTCATATTAGTTATGTGTTTGCAAACAGCAAGGGACTCAACACTTTCCTGAAAACAGTGCCATCCATTTGCCTTAGAGTACTTACACATAAAGAATCTGCTAATATTATTACTGTGGTGCTTGGATGACTTCTTATAAGTGGAGGAGAATGAAAACAAAAATATAAATTATTCCTAAATCTGGTGTTTCCAGTATACGCACTCTTCTCATAGTCAGTGGTCTTACTTGTTAAGCCTTAGGACAGAAGTTAAGTTTTGGTACAATTGCAAATAAGTATTTTTTTTATTGTTTTTATTATTGTTAACAAACTTATGTGGAGGAGGAAGTTAATTTGGACATGGTTTCTGATTCTAATTCACTAAGAGCCTTAATATGACTGTGATGATGTGTGGGAAGCTGACACATGGAATAATCCAAATGCAGATGTAAGCAGTTTTGCTGATCTTTGGTACACTCCGGCCTTTTGTAGTTTTGGGAAGATGATTCTGTTCCTTCTTGGGTCAGGGAAGAAGTGGCCTTAGAATAATAGGTGGTTTCTTCACTAGTGAAAAGAATTGAATGCCGTGAGGCTGTAGCAGATAGGATGAATGACTGGAAGAGTCTACTCCTCACCCATGTGTTAAGTTTCTAATGTTATGAATCTTCTGCAAACAGCATCTCAGTGAAATTTAGTGGCAATAGTTCGATATGACATACTGACAGGTAACATTTATCTATCTGTTTTGATTATGGCAAAGCACCAAAAGTAAGAGAAAACCTCACAGACATCTGAGGAGAACGCACAAGTAAAGGAGTCATTAAAGCAGACATGCTGACTTCCACTGTTGTGGAAAAGCTTACATTTCCATAGAGAAGCAATTGCTGGAGACATCATTCTGCACTAGGAATTGTAAATAATTTCTTTCTATATAAACAGGTGTGACTTGACCTCTTACTGCCACAATCAGTGGTGATAGGCACATTGTGTTGAAAATAGGATATAATCTTTCACACGGTTCCTTTGACAGGCTTTGCTCGTAATCTGTCTGAAGGAAGCAACGCTAACTATACCGAATATGTGGCTACCAGATGGTACCGCTCACCTGAACTCCTGCTTGGGTAAGTACAATTTGTAGAACTGTATGCTAAATCTTGACTGATTCTTTACAATTTTTCAAGTGTCTTTTTTAAGACTTACCCGTGGAGAGCTGTGATTGAGGTGTCCCTACTCATGGCAGAGGGGTTGGAACTGGGTGATCCTTGTGGTCCCTTCCAACCCTGACAGATTCTGATCTGTTTTAGCAGAGGACTTTAGAGCCCTAATGGCTCAATGGTTGGACTTGATGATGATCTTGGAGGTCCTTTCCAACCTAAAGGATTCTATGATTCTATGATAAGTTTTGTTCATTTCCAGTAAGTCAGTGTGCATCATTGACGTGTTCACTGGTCTTGATCTGAGCAGTTAATCAGTTTTAACTGGTTAAAATATGAAGCTGAATTATAACAGATACATTTCATGTTCCTGGCCTCCCTACCCCATTCCCTTCAGAACAGGTTTCCATGGTAGTTCTGTAGCCTGAAATGTTCCATCAGTCTAGTAGTGGACATCACATGGAACAGCAGTGCAGCTTTCACCACACTACACTCCCAATTCCCTCATCATTTAGGTCAAAATTTTGATTTAGTTTTCATTCCCAGATACCCTTTGCCAGCACTGCTGAAGAGGCTCAGAAAGGTGGTGCTAGTTTTTGCTAGTGAGGAAAAATTTATTGAAGGAGGCTATGTGAATAATTTTAATAAAGCCCTGAGAAGTTAGTGTCACATTGCCTGTGAAAGCACTAGTTACATGAGCAGCCTCAGCTAGACAATTTAGTTTTACTCTTTTATTAGTCTGTAAAATTAGTGTTTTACTACCTCACGAGGTTAAACAAATTTTCAGACACTATATGAACAAATTCATAGGACCCAAAAGGGCAAAGGAAGAGACAAAAATTACTGGAGATATACTATATGTGATCTTCCTTTTAGTACCAAGTTTAACAGTGCATTGTTCTAAACTACATGAACATTCTGACAGAGTACAATTCCTGTGTGTGTAGCATCTATGTGTGTGTGTATATATATATATACACATACATACACATATTTTAGAAATAAGGAGTGGGTAGTCACAGGATGAATCAAAAAAAGTACCAGTCACTGCTAAGATTCTTTAACCAAAATGTTTATGCTGCTGAGAAACAAACCTTTGTTGGAAGCTTTGATTAACACTGAACTAGACATTTCTTGAATAGGTAAAGCATTAGGTAATAATTATTCTGTCAATAAAGTCATCGCAGTATTCCCAGAGCTGTGCTAATCTTAATCAAGTTGGTAGGCACTTGCATTGTTAAACGCACGATGGTATGTTAAAGTTGCCATTAAAAACCTGAAAGCTCAGGTTTTTATATTTTGGAGAAAATAGGTATTATTAAGCTTCCAGCAAAGTGTAGGTGTTTATCTAAGTATAAAAAAGACTTGGAAAGAAAGCATCAATTGTGGCCTTTTTGGCTACACAACATTTTACTCTTTTTCCGTGGTAGCAATGAGGATATAGGAGGAAAGGCATGAAAAGGCTTGACAAGTGTTTATTAATCTGACCTGCAGTTTTCAAAACTGTTTCTTTACCAAAGGAAATTTAGCAGGAATTATGTCTGACTACCTTTGTTTGATTAGCTTCTAGAGAAAGAGAGAAGGTATGTATATTGCATGCATTCGGCTTTGCTGGCCTATGTTTATGATGATTTCATTATTTCCTCACCTGCGTTTTTTAAAGAATAGTTTTCAGGAGCATTCTGTTTTCTCTGTAATGAAAATTTTACTGTATGAATGCTGAAACAAAGGTGTCTTCTAATTTCTCTTCTCCAAGGGGCCAGACCCAATATGCTTATCCAACTACCAAGTGTAATGTAAAAAGAAATGTAATGCAGAAATAGAGCACAGTCGTTAACCCCTGAAGAGAAGTTAGTGCTCATCTAACGAGAAACGCTATCTGCTTCCCAGGTAAAAAGATTATACCTGTATATAAGGCTTTTCACAAAGGTCAGCAGATCTTGAGGTACTTGAGAATTCCCCTCCTGCCTTTTCAATCAGCAATTTATTGTGTAATCCAGGGCAGAAACTGAGTGTTTGGTACTTGAGGTCATTTCTTTAATATCAAAGGGTTTTTTTTTTTTGAATTGTTAGGAAACAGGCCACGGGAAATAGTCAATAAACTGAAACAGCTCGGTAAGAAGACAGTGTCAGTGAGTGAAAAACATTGTCCATTTGCTTTACAGAGCCCCTTATGGAAAGGCTGTGGATATGTGGTCTGTAGGCTGTATTCTGGGAGAGCTGAGTGACGGGCAGCCCCTGTTTCCTGGCGAGAGCGAGATTGACCAGCTCTTCACCATTCAGAAGGTGCTAGGCCCACTGCCAGCCGAGCAGATGAAGCTCTTCTATAGCAACCCACGCTTCCATGGCTTGCGGGTAAGACAAAGCTTTGTTCGTATTTTTATTTACTTGCAGACTGTTTACTGTATTGTCAGTCTTGCTGCTAAGGTTCTGTTCTTCTACATTGGGCATTATCTGTTGCAAGTCTTTCTGTGGAGGTACAGGATATTTTTGTTATGAGGCATTCATAATTCAGATTACACCAGTACTGAGTTTTATAACTATGTTTGTTTTACTGTTAGAAATTGATTAAAGATCAATTGTTTTGACTTTTTTTGGCATGCAAGTTAGCATTTATGCCCAGGTCAGCATTGGCCTGACAGGTCTGCACTGTGATGTTTCATGATGTAGCTCTGTCAGTTCAGGGTGTGGAAGACTCATGCCTGCTGTCTTCAGGCTACCCTGTCTGAAAAATCTGAGTCATAGATGCTGCAGTCATGGCAGAAGAACTTTCTGCCTTTTGACTTGTTTTCCTGAGGAGCTGATCTAAGCCACATGAGTGAAAAAGCACTTCCTACTGACAGCGTTGTTCCCTTTCAGGGGTTTGCTAATACCACAAAATGACCGAGACTCACTAGTGTGGAGAAGCTGCTCAATTTGGCATGCTCAATATGGCAAAATCCCAGAAGCAATATAAAAGTAATAGTTCTGTTATCTTTAACAATACCTGGTCAGTGAGTGTACTCACGTTTCCTTGTAATTCAGTTTTGGTTGTCATTTTTTATTAATGAGTGTTGCTTAGAAAGGTGAATTTTTGTTCTTGATAAATGGGCTGAAATAGTGTAAAATCCTATAAAGAGACATATGAAAGTTTTAGGAGGCCTGTCTGTGCTAAAGACTTGAGATTTAGTTTTGTTCTGTAAAAGAGAAAAGTTGGAGAATAAGAAAAGGACAGAGGGGGGACCTAGTTGTTTTAAAACTTTTTAAAATTTTCCATAAATTGAGTTTAGTTGATGATGATAAGAAAAGTAATGTTGGCTTAAGGTGTTGGGATAATTATTTTAGCTATAAGGATAGCTAATTTCTAAGAATTTTTGTTGGGGTTTGTAGACCCTCCATCCAAGGAGTGCTTCAAAAATGATTAGATGAGCATTTCTTGCAGGGTCCTGTTGGTGTCTGGTCCTGTTTAGAACAGTGAACTGGGTGGGATTTTCTGTTTAAAAAAATTTCTAATGCTGTATCGCAAGAGCAATGCTTTGGAAGTTGTAAGCTCTTCATGATTATTTTACAGCATTTCTAGTTGTGTAGTGTGATTTTATTTGGATAAATGCTCTGTAATGTGTTAGGACAAGAATACAGTGTCTTTGTTTTGTAGCTTTAAAATACAGTAATTCGAGAAGACAGGAGGGACCTAATGTGATTAGCACAAGTTTGAGAGTTATGAGTCTCTGTTTTCATCCTAGATCAATGCTTTATTCTTTGACCTCTAACATGTTGCTGCCTTCCTAGCCACATCTTTAAAGTCAGGATACTAATGATGATAAAGCAACATATGCCTTCCAACAGAGAGTAGGTTTTGAGTGCTGAAGGAAAGTCTGAATAATGGCTTAAACATGGAAAAATACTAAAAAAAAAATGCTGGTTCATAATGTGATGCTCTTTAGTTAATTTACTGGAAAAATGTGTTCTGTGCTATAAGATACTTAAACATGTTTCCCTGATCATTCCAAATGTAAAATCTTCTTTGTGATGGTCATTCTACATGAAGATAAGAATATTTTACCATTTGGTTTATGTAAAAATTGGAGGAAGTATGAAAGCCTTGGTTCACCTAAGTTACTGTCTAAGATCAATGTAGCAGACTTTGATTTTAAAAAACTCTCAATCATTAGTAAACCACTTCAAAAGAAAGAAAAGAGAAAAATACAGATACTATTTAGGAACAAACACATTCAAACTAATGTTCTTTCATTTTCCTTCAAAGCTCACTTGATGTAGTTTGTGGAAGGTAATGCCAGTACAAACAATGGCCAGCAGCTCATAGCAGTATAACACTTATGTGCACACAGTGCACGTGCAGTGCTTCCAAATAAAATTAACTTCTGGAAACGAGTTTTTGTACTGGGTTGCTCTCTAAAGCATAGTTCTGAAGCTAGAATTTAATCCCAGGAAGGTGAACATATAAAAATATCCCTATATATGTAGCAATCCCTAGATGTGAGAGTTGAAAAATAAACAAGTGAAAGTAAAGGAATAAAAGCCTTTAAGATTTTCTGGTCATTGACATGTTAGACCTATACATATAGTTCTCATATGTTTTTACACTACAGCAAACTTCCACATAAAATGTTTGTCTTCATGTTTGTTGATTTTTTTGTTTGTTTCTGTTGTCTGTCCTAATCACCGATTTGAATGTTATTGTTTTCTTCTATTTTCAGTGACTTTTTTTAAGTATAACTGAGTATTTTCTGTGGCTGTGTTTTATATATGACTTGAGCCCATTCGGACAGATAGTGTTGGCTTTTATGTAGCAATAGACAAAAACACTGCGTGCCTATTGTCAGTATTCTTACTTTGATGTGGTAGCTTAAGAGGACTTAGAAAAATAATACATAGGACATGGATGGGATCAAGCCAGGCTGCAGTTGAAACACTTGGATAGTATTAGATGAAATCCACAACTCTGGGAACTGCTAACAAAGTGTGTGGATCTCATCTGTGTAGTTTTGGATAAACTATGATTAATGCCAATAGGCTAGCTGATTGTTGTTTGGATTTGTTTTGGTTTTTTTTCCAGAGCCTTCTCTGGTATTCAAATGTGTAATTTTCTCTAAAATCAGCATAAGTGGTTCCATGAGGATTTTTTTGACTCTGTTGGAAATCCAGCCTTAATTTCTAATTCTGAAGACGCTGACATATATGTTTAGTATTTAAATATGAAGTTATTTCACTGAAATCAGTTTAACTACTTGTTTGCTGTCAGTTCAAGGCATACTACAGCCTGGAAATAGATCTTTGCTATCTGTTTCTTTTCAACTAATCGTACTTGATGTTATATCAAGCAGAGAAATGTTGAGCAACTTTCATTTCATAAAAAGAAAAGATTCTGTCTTCATTTCATTTGACACTTGCCTTGTTTACAAAGCAAGCAAAAAACCCAGTTCTGTGCTTTATTTTTTCTTTCTTCAAATCATCCCTGCCTGTCCTGTTCTTTCCAGACAGAGCTACTTTCAAATACTGCCTTCTTCAGGTTTTGTCCAGTTGACTTAAGGTGCCTTCCAGCAGTGTGCTCTGCTTCTCATGGTATTGCCAGTTCTTGCTGCAGCATCACCATAGGAGAAATCCTGAACCTTAAACATATAGGCATTTGATGTTTTTCACTAAAAACATTTTGGAATTGTCTGTTAATCTGTGGTATTTACTTAGTACTGTATTTGCACTCTTAAATTTTCTCAAAGATGTTTTTAATCTTGGTAAAAAAAAATATATTAATTGTGTTATTTCTAAAACTATTTTAAACCTCCCACTCTTGTCAATTATAATGCCACACATACATTTATAAATATAAGTTACTTATTTCTCATTTTAGAGAGGCTCCTTGACTGCCCTACTAATCAACAATACTTTCTTTGGTTGACTAGGTGCATATCATACATCAATAGTTATTTGTTTCATTATAATGATGTGATGTCTCATAAACCACTAACTTTTTCAGTATATAATTCCCATTAATCACATGCCTTGATTCACTGTGTAGTTTCTATTTTTTGAACATTATAGTCATATATACTTTGTTTACATTCTCAGTATATTTATGCTATGTTATTTTTACAGTTTCCAGCAGTCAATCATCCACAGTCTTTAGAGAGAAGATACTTGGGAATTTTAAGTGGTGTATTGCTTGATCTTATGAAGGTAGGAAAATACATTTTATTTTCTCTCTGTAGAGAACGATGTGGCTTTTTAATTTTTGTTTCCTAATATAGTACATCTCAAAAGTACTTGTGAAGTTCCATTTGAGGTGTTTGGTAGTTTGGAGGAAGGCTTGATATTTCCTATGGAATCAAGGAAAACCTCTCACAAATGCTAGAAGAATCTGTTCAAATTTGACTGATATGATAAACAATCCATAGTCCAGACAAAACAATTACCATAATTTGCAGCAATATGCATTCACACTGACATAGATTCAGATGCATAGGTTACCTCAGTAATGCTGAGGTATGAGTTCTCAGCTCATAATAAACTTAGATTAAGTCCAGAGAGTACTAGGCTAACCTGAGTTGTTTTTCATTTGTTGTTGGTTAAGCAGGAGGATGTGGAGAGTTGTCAAAGTAGAGACACCATAATGTTTGGTTTTGGGGTTTTTTTGGGGGTTGTTTTTTTTTTACTTGAACCCTTAATCTGCTTGCTGTCACTCACCTCTACACAGCATGTGAGTTACTCTTCAGTCCTGTTTTGGAACAGGTCAGCTAGTTAGCTAGTTACCCATGGCCAAACTAGGATATGGTACTGAGAAAGTTTCTTAGAGGGTCTTAGAAGCTGGCACCCCTCAAAATGGCCAAACACTGCAAAGTGTTGTCCTATGTATTTGTGCCATATTCCTAGGTATGAAACATATATTATTTTCATTGTTATTGTAGTATAAAATATCATTGTGTCAGCTGCAGCACAACCCTTCTATTTATTATTTCATTTACAGTGAGCTGAAAAAAAAAAAAAAACTCAAGATGTCAAATTAGGTTTAGAATCACAGGGGTACCGCCTAAAAATCGAAGGCTCTCAGGATAAATATGAAGCCCAAATAAAGCTAATCAACTCTAAATTAAGTGCCTTGTCCCAAGCCCATCTGTGCCAGTTGTCTTGGAAACCAGAGGTCATCTGCTTTGGGGCATACTTGAGTGTTTACTTGCTTTTAGCAGGATTGATACAGCCAGCAGAAATCCACCAAATTAGCTCTGCTCTTCAACGTAACTGGTTCAAATCACTTCCATTTAATCTCCCTGCCTTATGAAGAGAGTCAGCATAGCTTTTATCTCGATTTCATGGAGTCCACAAAGTTAAGTACCTAGGTGCATATAATTTAATGTTTGGGTATTATACAGTCTCCTCCATTTTCCAATTCACAGAAACTTATTCTGGCATCGGAGTTTGCTGTAGCTCAGGATATAGTAGTATATATTGCAGAACAGCCATTTCAGGATCACTCTTTAGCATGTGCTGGGGTTGATTTTAGCTTTAGCCTAATTTTTATTATATATATCAGTGCCTTTTGGGTTCTTTTAGTGCAATTTAAAAGTTAGAAAGCTGTGAAATTAAGCACCTGAATTTTAGGGGAACATAGGTCTCTAAATAATTCCATTCCATGTTAAATAATTCTTTTCAACTTTTCTGTCTGTATTTCTCCCTACAAGGTGAGAACACTCAGGGATTCTTTAGAGGATATGTTTTGTATTTGGCCTACATTACTTAATTCAGGATATGGAACATTTTTAAAGAATGAGCAAAAGACTACAAGAAGAAAACTGAAGAGATTTGTGGTTAAGTTACATGCTACAAATGCTGCACATAGTTTGTTGGATGCCTCTCTTCTCCAGACACTGGACAGTCTGGAACATATCCATGCATGGTGTGTTCCTCATTATCTGCATTCCCAGGGACCTCAGGTCTGATTACTAGATCACTGAATAATCCACGCTTCAACCTATGCCAGCTAAAGTAGTGAGCTGTAGATATATCTCTACTTAGAGACCGTTTCTGGAACCATATTAATGAAGAGGCACCCATCTGGACCTATTGCTTTCTTGCTCCTCTCCTCCTCACTCCACAAATCGTGCTGTTTTGCAAGCATGCTTTTGGGAGTTGGGAGCTGGTTTTGCATGTGATGACTTCAGCAAAAAGAATTAATGTATTTCAGTCTTTCATATCATCTGTCATTCAGTTGTCTTTCCCATTCAGCAGCAGACATGCATTTATTCTGAGCTTCCATTTACTACTAGTATACTGTTACAACCCCTTGTTTTTGCTTTTGATGTTCTTCACTTGCCTTAGCTCCAGCTGGACTTTGGCCTTTATGAAGTGGCCTATCCTTTTTGCTGACACAGTGCTTTATGTGGTCTTCCTCTATATCTTGTCCTTGATAATACTTCTTACTCCCGTTTTGCACTTTTGTTCATTAAGAGACTCCCTGTTTAGCCAACCTGACCTTATGCAAAGTTCTGTGATCTTCTGTACAATAAGATGCATTGTTCCTGGACTCTCAAGAAATTTTATTTAAAAATCAAGTGGTTCTCCTGGACACCTTTCCTCTGATAACAGTTTTTCAGGCAGTTCTTCCCAGTAATACCCTACAGAAGCTAAAGTTTGCTCTCTTGAATTTCTGGGTCTTATCCCTGATGCTCATCTTCCCACCCTTCCTCTGAATCTTAACAGTAATTAATCATCTCCTGGTCACTGTAGCTCAGACTGTCTCCTCTGGTCAGATTTGTCACCAGTACTTTACTGTCGGTAATCAGCAGGTCAATTAGAGTGAAGTCGTGCCCTTCAGCAGCTGCACTAAGAAATTGCTACCAACATAGTCTAGAAATCTCCTGGATCGTCTACACAGGTTGGATGTCTGCCTAGTTGAAGTCTGGCATGGAGATGAGGACCTGTGATGGGGAGTCTTCTGCTTGTTGTAGGGAGTTGTCCTCTTCATCTTCATGCTCTTCAATGCATGATTGGTAGTAAGCTTCCACCATAAAATCACAAATGTTGGTTTCCCTTCTAACCCTCACCCCGAGGCTATCAATGGATGTACATTCTGTTTCACGCTGGCAGTTGATACCATCTAGGAACTAGATTATATGGAGTGCCATTCTTCTCCCTTCCCACCCCCTTCTTTCTGAAGCCAGCTGTACCCACCAGTGACCGTGACTCAGCCATGAGCCCTGTCCCACTACTTCCCTGTGATTCCACATAGGTTCATAGCCTTGTGATTCCTTATGGACTTCCAGTTCTCCTTGCTTCTGATCCAGGCTCCACAAGTTAGTGTATAGGTACTTGAGGGAAGCCTCTGGACAGCCTCTTTTCTGATGAGCAATGTGAATATCACATGTGGCCTTTTCATGTTTGCTTGGCCATTTCAGCTACTGTAGTGATGAGCAACAGAAAAAAAGGAAAGAACTAGTTAATCCCTCAGTACACAGTTTGTCACTTGAGAAAGGGAGACACGACCAAACTACAGAGGAATCTAGTTTTCCACTTCCTTTGTTTCCTGAGCGTTTTCCATTCTCAAGTGCAGGGATCCTGTGGAGGGAAAACCAGTTTGTGGTCAAGTAGCTGAATACTATGATAATGCATATACAGATAGGCATTGTGTGTTTGTATGTGTAGGCATATGTGCACATAGAGTTGTTCTTTGTTCAGCCTCTATAACCCCTAAAAGATAGCTATTCTTTCAAACTTTTATCCTTGCTGACAGTTGTGTGTTCAAATATTCCAAGATAATTTTGTATTGCCTTGCTCCTGCCAGAAACCTTTCAAACTTATCAAAATACTCAACCTGCTGGCTTTCAGTTTTGTGAATATGTTCTATATGTCACAAAGTGTCTTTGTTAAGAATCACAGGAGATCTAACACAATTATAAGGCAAATGTTATTCTGAGTTCACTGTAAACAGTTTAGATGATTCTTTAAAAGTATGAATGAGCTTGAACCCTAAAAGTAAAAAACAAAACTCTATTTGTATATTTTTTAAGATGTTTTATTTGAATGTTCCCATATGGTTGCTCTGGTTTTTTTGTAAAGCCTGTTTCACTGTAGCATTTTATTACTGATAAATTTAATATTTCCTCATTCTAACAACATTGTTGTAAGCTGTATTCTGAAAAATGTTTAAAATACACATAATTTAAACGTGTGTAGATAAAACATCTTTTAAATGTTAGATATTGTATTTTAAACATATTTGAAGCACACACATAACTATACATATGTATATAGTAATTATATACATATAGCACATATGCGTTTCATAATAAGCAAGGCAGAGTCCTTCTGTCTCTTAAGCAGAACATAGATTTTGTTTCTTTTCTAACACATGTAGTTTAATGCAACGCAAATTTAGCAGTTACACCTAATCACAGAAACTGTGGAGGTTAAAAAAAAATCCAAATAATGTTCTTTTGCTATACTTTTGGCTGATGCAAATATAGATACTAACATTTAAACTTTGGGATTTGTGTTTTTGCAAAGAACTTACTGAAGTTAGATCCAGCAGATAGATATTTGACAGAACAATGTTTGAACCATCCTTCGTTTCAAACCCAAAGACTCTTGGATCGCTGTGGAAGCTCTCCTTCACGGTCAGCTAAGAGAAAACCTTACCACGTAGACAGCAACACATTATCTAACAGGTAAATGTAGCCATGTCACTGTCATCACTGACATTTGCTCTGCAAATGAGTGAGTTGCTCTCATGCTTACATACAACATCACCTATAAGAAAAGTAATCATTTCACAGTTCAGGCACATTGAGACACATATATTGTTCCATGTTGGCCCGCTGAATAAAGAAAGTAGACACAGTTTTACTTTATAGTAAGTATTAAAGCTGAAATTTTTGCTAACTTTGTGCATCAGGCTGAATGCTTCTTGAAAACAAAAACAAAGACAACGTTCAAGCCACTTCTGCATGTAACAAAGGAGGAAAGTTGGCCTACTTATCTGAAAAAAATGTTGGCCTTTTTCTTGAACAGTAGGAATTTTGTGGCTTGGAGAATGCCTCAAATTCCAAAGGAATGTTCTTTTATTTGGAATGCTACCATTACTGTACATGTGCAAAACTGTCAGAGGTTTTGATTTTTGGAAGCTCAAAATTCGCACAGATTTTTCACAGATAATTATCTTGAAAATTGTGTGAATTGATCGTGCTTCAAATTGAGGAGGAACAGAATTTTACCTGCAGTTGCAGTTACAAATCAAGTCTAGTCTACCTGAACATAAAACAGGGTGTATTTGCTCAGTGACTCCCTTGTTGGACCCACATAGCTTGAGAGAATCCCCTTGATTTGGATATGCCAATGAACCAGGTTTACTGGTGGACAAAATACTTCAGTACAAAAAGCCTCATGGTATTCCTCTGACAAGTGTTTTCCTAAACGTCGCTCTCTGAACTGTGCAGAATGATGGTGGCTTTTAATTCTAGCCATATATTTAGCTCTTCTTGTGAGATTCCAAAGTTACTAATTTTAAGATTTGGGATTATTACATTTACAGTCAATACTTTTTTGGAAATAGACATCAAAAAGTTTTAGCTGCCCTTATAGATACTTAGGCATCAGAAAGGAAAACCTAGATCCACAGGGAGCGACATGTCTAAAAGACTTTCCTAGCTGCTTGATTTGAAATTACTAGTTTCTTTGTATCTCAAAGTTTTGAAAAAATAAACTTCCTTTTAACTGAAAAATACTTTAAACCAGCATTAAAATTGCTATATTTCTAGAAACTGTATTGGAGTCCATAATTAAATCACTGAAAGTGGGTAATAGAAATATCCTAGGTATAAAAATGGCTAGCATCATCCGGTCATAGTTATTAACAAAATCCACAAAGGTACAAACTCATCTGTGCAGTGAGCTCTCACTTTAACCTTCAGTAATATATCTGAGTTACATCATCATAGATTTAATACAGAATTAAGCTGAGTGCTCATAGCCTGCTTAAGTCCATCAAGACTAACAAGTGCAGCTGCAGCACTGCTCTGTCATGCAATAGCAGCCTAAGTGCAGAAGCAAAACTGGTTTTATGCCAGAAAATCTGAGATAATGAATCCTGCTCAGATAAATTCAGGCTGAGCATTTGCAGAACCAACCCATATCTCAGTCCTGTGATCCCCAAACCAAGAGAGCTGGAAAGTAGAGTAGATGTTAAGGACATCACCAAGTAGCTCTGCGACAAGTTAATTGGGTTGCAGAGTGTTTTGGGTGCAGCTTTGGGAATGAGTTAGTGTGCCAAGAACTGGGATAGTGCCAGGTTCCACAAAACCTGGGGTTCCTGTGGCTGACCTGGTTTTGGTCTTGGTGTTACAGGGCTTGCTGTGCTGCACTCAGCTCAGGCTCACTCCATCTGGATGTCTTTAGCAACACAGTAACCTCTTTTTCCCTTTCCCCTTCCAAATCAGACATACACTAGATGGCCTGGAGCATTGATTGTATGTTTTTGACGTACTTTATTGTTCTACCTTCACTTTGACATGCCAGGTGTATTTAAGATTTTTTTAAATGGATATGCAACTAATTTTCATGATGTGTCACACACATGCGTAGATGTGTAAAATGTATGTTGGAATTTCTATGATTGGGTTTTATATCTTTTTTTTGTCAGCAAAATGCACTAGCCAAAGTTGAGTTTGTCCATCAGGATATAACCAGAAAGAAACAACAATGTATTAACGCTTGAAAATCTGTTACTTTAGCATAGATTCTAATGCCTAGTTAGTAGCATTTGATCTTACTGCAGTTAAATTTTGTGGGTTTACATGGCAACTCATTTCTGAAATAAGTGTGCTTTTGTAGAAGTTATTAATATACCAGATTACATTTTCGTGCATTAATGTTTCTTTGTGCATTTTAATGTAGAAATCAAGCCAGCAAAAGTTCTGCTTTGCAGTCGCACCACAGATCAAACAGCAAGGATATACAGACGCTAGGGGTTGGTGGGCCAAGAGAAGAGGCTCTTCCAGCAAATGAAAGCTTTTTAAATGGAAACCTTCCTGGAGCTGCACATAGTCCAATGCATACAAAAAAATCAGGCAACACACCTGGATCTGGCAACAAGGATCTGGCCAATAATAACATGCCGCATCTTCTCAGCCCGAAGGAAACAAAGGCAAAAACAGAATTTGATTTTAATGTAGACCCAAAAAGTTCTGATGGTTCGGGCACAAAGTACCTGAAGTCTAACACCAGATCTCAGCAGAACCGTCACTCGTTTATGGAAACCTCTCAAAGTAAAACTGGGACACTGCAACCCGGCGATAAGCACAGTCGCCACAGCTACATTGATACCATCCCACAGTCTTCTAAGAGTCCTTCCTATCGGACAAAGTCAAAGAGCCATGGGGTTCTGACAGACTCGAAGTCCGTGGGCAACCTTTCAGAGGCCAGGGCCCAAGCTGCAGAGCCGAACAGCAGCAGGTATTTTCCATCCAGCTGTATGGACTTGAACTCTCCTACCAGTCCAACTGCTCCTCGACACAGTGATAACAGAACTTTGCTCAGCCCATCCGGGAGGAACAATCGCAGCGAGGGTACCTTGGACACCCGAAGATCATCAACAAGGCACTCCAAAACAATGGAGGAGTTAAAACTGCCAGATCACATGGATGGAAGCCATTCCCACTCTCTGTCTGCTCCACACGAATCCTTTTCCTATGGTCTAGGTTATACCAGTCCTTTTTCTTCACAGCAGCGCCCTCATAGACACTCTATGTATGTGAGCCGGGACAGAGTGAGGTCAAAGGGCTCAGAGGGTGGCTTAAGCATAGGGCAAGGGATGGCAGCCAGAGCAAACAGCCTGCAACTGTTATCTCCACAGGTGCAGCATAAGTCACTCACAAGATCTGTTGGCTCGTCACGAGAAGACTGTACAGAAGATACTAATAGGGTTAGTTCGAAATATTACCTATTAAGGAAGGCTTAGCTTCCTCTCTACTTCATGTGAGGACAGTGTCCTGCTTTCTTTGTTCTGCTTGTTTGCACTTATTTATTTGTCTTGTTGTAAGGCAAGGGATGTTTTTTTTTTTGTTTTTTTTTTTCAGAAAGACTAACTATTTCAAGTGCAAAATGAGAGGCTATTTTAATAAATGGACTATGAATGTCATTCTCTTAAAATACTGAAATGTGAGAACAGGAAAATTTGTCTCTGAAGTTAATTGGTAGTTCCTAGTCTTTGGTTACAATGTCTGATGTCATTTTTATATTGTTTTGCTTAGTTAAGCTTCTCATTTGGGTTTTTTTGTTTAGCTTTTTTTTGTACGTATTTCTGTTACAAATGTGAATGTAAATTTTGAAGTGAGCTTTTCACTCACTTGTAGCAGGGTATTCTTGCTAAAATGCTGTGATTTACTAGAGGAGTATCAAAAGTTGCAGTATTTATCTTGATTAGTAAAATAAATAACTGGGGTAGCCTACGAGATTTTCTGTTGCAGAAGCCACCGGTAAATTGCCTCCTTACAGTGATTACTCTCACTGGATACCTTGTTCTGTTTTACTGTAAACATTGTTTAGTGCATTGAGGAAGGGCTTGTTCCAGTGTTGATTTACATGCCTTACACAACACTTTTGAATTATCTGATGTTTATGTGTCAGATGTGTAAAGACAACTGCATTTGTCCCCAAATCTTTAAATTGCTGTACTACTGATTCAAATTGGAGCAAAATTATGGAGAGAGAGGTACAAAAGCAAGTTTGTTTCTCTAGATGTACCTCTGTGATTTAAGAGACTTATAAGGAAAGAACATCAAATTCAGATTTGTTGACAAACTGAAGGAAGTCAAAGAGCTGCAAATATTATTTAAGGTCTAAAAATTATGCTTTACTGTGAGAGACTAAAAAACTCTGTCTACTTAGTTTATGTAAGAAACATGTGTAGCTGATTTGATCGTGGTCTACTATAGATAAGAGGTTTCAGGTAGTGGTTGCCTCTTCCGTCCAGCAGGGAAAAAAAGGAGTAACGCTTTTTTGTGCTTACCACGTCTCCTCCATTATCATGTGTATTCACACATAAGAAAAGATCTCATCAAATAAGATAAGTCAGTGTAATTTTTTTTAATTTTTTTTTTAAGGGAAAGGGTGCTTAGAAGGAATTACAACAGCTCCATTTCAAAAACAGGTGGTTTTTTTCTTTGTGTAGTGATTTTTCTCCCTAATTTCTATCCAGTTAAGAGTTACTTATTCTTCAGGATATTGTGGTAGAAGGGCAATAACACCAACATTTGAGTTTTTGATAATAAAAGCTCCTGCTACATTGTATTCTTCAGCGCACTGGAATCTTTTCCTGCGTTATGTAGCATGTATTAATTTGATAAGTAATTTTAATTTTATTCCATAGTATGTAGAGGCTGATTGTTTTTATCAGTTCATTCTTTGTCTTTTGACAATTGGTTTACAAATTTTCATTTTAATTAGAAAAATTAACGTGTATTTTAATGCACTTTATACTCATTTTCATTTGCTTTGGAATGTCTAATCATTTGTAAAGAACTTGCCTTTATCTCATACGGTCAATGTTTTCAAACTTATGCCTTCAATTAATGTTCTTAAATCAGTATTTCAACCATCAGAAGTCTGAAAGGAAAAATACTCTGAAATAGATGGCAAGTCTGTAAATTCACAGAGATGTTTTTGTTTGTTTATACTACTTTCAATAAGAAAACAGAATTAAGTTGTCAATCTTCTTATAACTTGTAAGGCATTTTGACAAAGAAGTCATTCTTTCGCTCCTTCCTATTATTTTTTCCAGTCAGTTCTACTGATTCTCACTCTCTGTTTGTGTTTTGTGGAGTATCCTCACTTCCATATTTCTTGTTTCTCATTGATTTTCTCTTTAGCTGTACCAAGTCTTTTTAAAGAAAAACGTGCTTTCTTTGCCAGGATTTTAGATCTTAGTTTAAATTTTTAAAAAAAGAAAAAAAAAACTGGCATTCAGTATCAGTTTTGGGATTTTCCAAGTCTCAGTGCAATGCTTTTGTTTTAGGGGTTCTTTTTAATTTTAAATTAAATATACACAAAAGGGGGCAAGTAGAATAAAATCAAGTACAAGTACTGCTACTGTCTCATATTTGTAAATTATCTGCTGACAAAAAATAGGTATCTTACACAAGTAGCAATTTAATCAAATGTTTCAGTCTATTGTAAATTTTGGAAGAATCAAACTGTGATTTAAAGCATTGGTTTAGCTGCACTTCTCATCTTGACACAGTTTCAAGGGTGGTTTTATCTGTGACAATGAGGCCGGATCTCCATTAATAAAAGGCAAAATAGATTTTGCAAATCACCTGTGTAGTGAATTGAAATCCCAGTTTTTAATTCTGTTTGGGGTTTTTTTGAGTTTTGTGGGTTTTAACCTTTGTTTTTTTAACTTGAACATTATAGATTTAAATTCATATAGGGGTTTCGTTCAAGTTTCCTGTAGGGTCTTGTAAAGAGCATTGAATTTTATCTGGTTGGTCCATACTGCAGGAAAAATTGAAGCATCTGGTTCATTTAAGAGTTGGTTGAAATCATATTTGATGGCAAATTACATGCACGTGGACATTTCTAAGGGCTTACTTAACCTTTTGGTTGAAGGACTTTAAGTACTGTGTTCAGGAAAATAGAGTAAATTGGAAGTAATGGTAGTCTTTCTTTCTCTATAGTCTATTTAGCTTCTAGATTTCTTAGTTCAGGGACTACCTCTTATTTTACATATAATAGATTTTGTGACTGTTGGTACCTCTAGGTACTACTGTATGACAGCTGATAAGAGAGAGTGCTTTGATGTTGCAATTAGCACAAATTATATGTGTTCCTGTTTGCTTTTTAAAGTTTGCCGGTAGCAGAGTGACCAGATTCTATCAGAAATTAATTTAACAAGGCCTCCAGTAAAAGATTCCTCCAGAGATGTTACAACTGCATTTCATTCACGTCAAAAATCTGAGGGTTTGAAACATGCTCAAGTCTTTAAATTTTCAAGAGGCAAAATTTTGTTAATGCCATTTTTCATCATTTTGGAAAAAGCAAGCAAGTAACAAACCAAATATTTGTTGATTACATAGTCTGTGATTTAATATTGTCAGTTATTAATAACATGAAAGGAAAATTGTGTGTGGTTAAGTTTGGGGTTTCTTGCTTATGTATGCTGGAGCTGCATGGATTTGCTGAACTGCAAATCATATTCATATTCTTTAATTTTAAGTAGTTGATTGTTCTTTTTTTTTAGGGTGGAGCATATCATGATCCACACACAGAAGATGGAGCATCTACTAAGGAAAATAGAATTCTGTATAATGACCCTGTTCCGAGAAGAGTTGGCAGCTTTTACAGAGGTAATTTTATGGTGGATCTTTCAAACTCAAACAAGAATTTTAACATGGAATATAAATTAAGAAGTAGAAATGAATACAGAGAACTAACATGAATCACTGAAAGATGTATTGGAAAAAGAATTGTTACCCCACTTTCAGAGACTGGGTTGACCTGCTAGGTTCTATACAGTAACTGTATTAGTACCATATTATTTATTTGCAAATGATAACTCACTTTGAAAAGCATATCCAGTGCAGTACTTTGTAAACCAGAAGATAATTTACCAGGGGCAGTTGAACAAAATGAATTAGTATTACCAGAGTAAGCAGTTCGTTAATGTTTTTAATTCATATTTTAAACACCTTTGTACTTGTAACACATTGACATACCTACTGATCTAGTTGAGGTACTGCGGTGCGTTGAACTGTCATGCTACTTTCTAATTGCTCAAAAGCTATGTTCATTTATTTTGTTCAGACTTACTAAAGGTCAGGGTTTCTTACAAGGAAAAACACACTTTTATAAGTCCAGTCCAGAATAAATAATAAAACAGTACTGTGTATGTGTATATAGATGTGCGTGTGTGTAAACATATATATATACACACACACAAATAGATATTGTTCTATTATGGCACACAAAAGATGGTGATTTCTGAGCAGCTGCCTATTGGCTAAACCTGGGTAATCCTTTTGAAAAATACAAGAATGACAAGAAGCTAATTACTGTCGTGCAAGTGTTAGGAGGATTGTGGGCCTCCCCTGAATCTTAAGAAGTCCCAATCAGGTAAAATTCAATTATGAGTCACCTAATAACCTTAAACAGAGTCACAAATCTCCCTCTGATCCCCTTCAGGTTGATCAGTTGGCTGATGACCTGATTGAGACATGTTACAATCTGCCAATCCTTGCAAGTGTCCCGTTGCAATAATAAAACCTGTGACCAATATTAAAGCTTGTACTGTTTTGAGCAATGGTTTTGAGTGTGAGGTGTTGTAGAGCATACAACAGAGAATCCCTAAGAAACCTCAGTCTTGAATTGCTTTTCTTAGTCCTTAAAACAATCCTAAAATTGAACATGGATTATCCTTCTTTTTTATACATAGTGAGACATAAGTTCCAAGGAAGAATGACTTTCTGTAAGTCATGTGCTAAGGAAACTGTAGGTCTGGGATTCATTCAATTCCTTATTATAAACTAAACTAGAGGTTTCTTCCTCTTTTAACTATATCTGTGAAACAAATTTTATTTCACAGACTTAATGCTTTGGAAAAATGATACTATATTTAAATAATACATGGATAATAATATATGCAAAAACTGTTGAAATAAAAAGTTACTGCAAAAAAGGTAAATAAATATTTATGAAATTCTTAAGTACTGACTTATCATAAAGGTTATTAGCAAGTACAAGCATGTACTTCAGCTTGAACAAAAACTTAGAGATTCAATTTTGTTAGGCTTTATAGTGTGATGCTGCAGTAATGCTGCAACTAGTGACTTATCAGTTTTTCATCCAGTGCAGGTATTTCTGGGGATATTCATAATTCTAATAAATTTATGTTCTAGATATGTATAAGCTATTTTCATAACCATGGCATGTCTGTCTGAAAAATACATCTGATTTTGATCCTTTTGTTTTTAGTGAGTAATCTCTTAATCTTCATTATATTAAAATCCAAAGTATTTATTTTCAGAATGGGTACTACTTTTTTTTAAGGTAGAAGTGAAGACACAGTATTTTTGTAGTATTTTGTGTCTTTAATAACAGTATTTCAACCTTTTATTGTTTCCTGTTTTTAAATATTGAGCTTGTAGCTCCCTACATATAGAAACGTTCTCCAGTCTACTAACGGTTTAGCCAAGTTCTGATGGTGGTCTTATTTTACAACTAATATTACCTTGAAAGTATCACAGAACAACAGGTTTTCAAACCATAAAATAAAAAAAGGCTAATATTTTCAGTCATACATAAAGTAAAACTGTGCCTTCACTCTCTTGTTTCTGTAAAAGAGGTAGAGGGGGAGCAGAGAACTGAAAGATGAGGTTTTGGCAGAGCTCAGTGTACATTGTTTGCTATTTCTCTGTTCAGTTCCATCTCCACGTCCAGAGAGTACGTACATAGAAAACAACGTGTCCAACAGAGCCTCTGTGTTACCAGCAGACAGCAGCACGGTGGCGAACCACCCAAAGAGACAAACCACCTTTGATACCTGGTGAGTTGTTATTTACACAGGTGTGTAGAGAATGGCAGGGGAAAAAGGGATTTTTAACAGGAGGGGGGAAAAATCCCCATGTTTTTCTCAAAATTTGCAATATATATGCTTAGTCCTCTGACTCTACTGGCATAGCATTCCGTGTTTTCTGTCACTTTTTGAGCAAGAAGAAATGCTTCATTACACCTTCACGCTGAATGCATTAAAGATTATATATTATATACTTTTGTCCAATCTTTCCTGACTTTTTTCCACTATTAGTCTTTGGTTAATGATAATACAAAGTGCTTGCATGTGTGTAGTATGGATAGCAAGGCCGTAGCTTCATATGTGAATTCCAGAAGCATGAATTGTCAAACAAATGGAAAAAAAAACCAAATTGCATGTTTCTGTATATAACATAGGACTGTATTAATGAACAATATACTATTTACCCTACAATGGGGACTGCTGCTCTTTTTGTTTATGCACCACAGAAAGAAATGTGTACATTCTATGGGAGAATGAACTAAGCAACATCTTAATGGTGTATATTGATTTTAAAAGATTAAAAGCATACATGGCTCTATTATATAACACAGATCACTTAGCAGTAATTATGCTAATAAAATGACAGTATATGCATAGCTTTGCAGGACTTAAAGGGAAATACCTTAATTTTGTCGCTGAGAGCTGTTCAGCTCTAAAATATTCTTAACCTTCTAGTTTATTCAATCACAGTAAAGCACACTGAATAAAAATAAGCAAATGAAGATTCAAAGGATTGGTGGGAGGAATGAACTGTATGCATTCACATGGTTCACCTGTGCTTCATACCACTGTCTGAAACACTGCTTTCTGAAAGTATGATGCAATCATGCTAGCTAAAGAACTGTTTCAGTGCTTTGTTGACTTAATGTGTTTTCACATGAACATGTGAATTATCTGCTTAAAAAAGTAAGGGGGGGTGAGGGGATGTAGGGAAAGGGGATTTAGGGAAACAACTGGTATTTCAACTTGGGTCCAGGTTGTATTCCCATGTCAGTACTACGTATTTACTCCAAAACCCTTGTCACCTGCTCTGATTCACTAGTCTGCTTCCTGTCCTTCAAGTAGCTCCACCTGCCTTCATTTTGTGGAAGTTAGCTGAGGAATCCAGTCATTTATGTAAAAAGGTGGTATTTATGTTGTGACTTATGTGGCTAAAGAAGGTATTTATTCCTACTATTGAACCCTTTTACATATTCTGTTGTCCTTCATATCTTTCTATCCTGCATATAACATAAGCCAGTTGGAATCTTGTTTTGCTTTATATATTGTTTGGCAATTTATTGCCTTTTATTATGTGGTGACTGCAAAGAAACATGTAATGTTATTTTAACTCTGAACTGAAATAATAGCATATGTTATTAGAGCTGGTTGGGAATTTTTTGACTAAGTGTTTTTTTCCTTACAATGCCAAATTATTGAAACCAAAACTTTTCAAAGGAACAAACTGATACCCACTAACATTATATTGGGAAGATTCTTCAGCTCCAGGGTGGAATTCCCAGTCAAAACCAGAGATACATTCGAAATAACAAATGTTCTGGGGTCAGTATTCTTTTTTGGAATGTGAGGAACTGGAATGCAGGCCCTTTGTTCTTCATGATTTAAACCAGAGGCTTGAACCAAGATCTAAGATCTAACAAGTGAATGCCCTGAACCAAAAGTTAGAGGTTATTCTAGAGCATGTTCCCTGTTTCCCTCAATATATTCTCTTGAAGCTGATTCATCTTGTTGAAATAGTGAAAGGACCACAATGATGCTGAATATGGCCCAGTGAATTAAGCTCCTAACTTTGAGACACTTATATTTAAGCCCTTGCTCCAGTTAATGTACTCAAATATTTTCACAAAGTGGAACAGCTCCTCTGAGAGAAGGAACCCCCAGAAGAATAAGCCTTTCTTCTTATGAAATGGGAGGAATGGCAGTCCCCGCAAAATCAAGTTACTGCTATTTCGGCATGCGTTTTTCTTTCTCTTTGCTTTTCCTATTCCCTGTTTTCCTGAAATGTTTCCTGCCCAGCTCTACATGTTAACTCTGTGCAAGTTGTCCTGGCAATGGTCTAATGTTGTTGAAAAATTGTTCTGTGCCATAAATGCAGCTTAATCAGATTCCTGAGTGATGTAGAGTCTATGTTCCTCTACTTGATATTTTGTACAGAAGTTGTATAAACACTTAAGAAAATGTTGAAAGCTCTAATGGAATGTGATTCTGCTTACATCAATTTTATGATGAAGTAAATATTTGATGTTTGACTGACATACGTAACTGGTACATGACAATTCATCTCAAATTATGAGTGATGTGTATTCCACCTGGACTTGCCACTACTGTAAAATATTGCTTCTCTCATACTATTGCTCTGTGTTGCCTTTCTTCTGTGAAAGATTTTGTGAATGTTTGCTAGACTGAATTGTCACAGATGTTCCCTTGTCTTTGTGTGCATTTCTTCACGCTGTCCCCACTGTCCTGCTTCTTTAAAATAAAGATGTTATAAACTCGACTTTTGTCATCAGGTTTTACTCTTAAATTATTGGATCATTTCTGAACTTCAGACAACTTCCTTTGAAAAAAGGCAAATTTTTCATCCTTCAAGAAATTCTTTTTTGCCAGAGTTTAATTTCCTGCAAATGACCTGCCTCAATTTTTCTTTTTTTTTATACAAGAGTAGATATTTTATTCTGTTTCACTTGTACAAGCTTTGTCTTGAGCTGGGCAAAATCAATAGGTATAGGCAGGGTGCTTAACCTTGTTCTGCCAGTGTGCCAAAATGTTGGCCTGAGTTAACTTTACTGTTGTTGTAGTTCTAAATAGCTCTTTGGGATAAACTCCAACATGCAGCACTTCATCTCACGTCACATTGGAAGTGTTTGCATTCATTGCTTACAAGATATTTGGGGGCTTCTGGAAAGCTTTGTTGTTTATGCCTTTTATGTCTATATAAATGTATTAATTTTATGACAAACAGCTTGTCATATCTTCTCTAGAAGAGAGAAGTCTTACCTTTTTGCAAAAATAATAAATAAGTGAAATATACAAACTATTTATTATTATTGTATGTGTATATAATATATACAAGACAGACAAACACTGTCATTCAAGAAAAGATCTTTTTAAAAACCCACATCCTACTCTTAGGATTTAAAGGATTACAGTTATCTATCTACCAATAATTTTCACGACTCCAAAACAATACAGTATTTTGTAAACATGACCTGACTGGCTGTAATATCACTGGTTCAGCATAACAATGTAGTCACAGTTAATGGTCCTGAAACTAGAATGTTACCAATATCTAAGCAAGATAGTTTGAAGCTTGTTCAGCTGTGTCTGTAGTACAGTGACTGCTGCATTGTAAAGATTTTCCAGTTAATTTACAGAATTCCTGAATTTGTAGAAAAATCAGGAAAATTCCAATTTGTAACTTGGAGGCTTAAAAATCACCCATGTGTGTTACACTGGTTGAGACTTTAGGAATCCACTCTGCATAGCTTGAAGATGTCTGCCTTACTAATGATACAGCTTTCCCTCTGACATTTCCTGCCCAAGCCTCGTGCGTATGCATTGTCATCCAGTACATTTGCTTTATGCTTCTATTTGGCAATATCTGAGCCTCCCTACCAGGTCCTTCTAGTAACCAGTGCCTCTATCCGTGACTCTTCCCCTTTACCAGTGTTTGTTTTGTACTAAGAATTAGATGATACAGTCTAATGTTATTTGCAGGGAAGCTCTCCAGAATTTGTAGTCATCAGTATTCTGTCCAAAAAGTAATCCCAGTGAATTATATGGGATGTAAGTTTACAAAACCAACCACTTCCATTTTTTTTATGGTTACTAATGTTGAATGATACCAGGGCAGTGCGAGGATGGGTGTAAAACATGGGTGTATATATATACATTTATGTGTACACTATTTTTAGTGATGCCACAGCCTTGGCTGATCTAGCAGCTTTAGTGGCTTCTGGGTGGTGTACTGTATATAAGATAGTAGATCTAGGGTTTATTCCAGTTAATATATCCTCCTTTTCACATGAGGAAAAAAAAATTTAAAAAAATAAAAATAAATTGCAACTCCAAGCAGATAAGTTCAGATTTGATCTCTGATATTTAAGCTTTCAATGCCAGCCTTTTAGACCAAGAAGTTTTACTATGGGCTTCAGCTTGTGAGATTAAGATTCTTACCTTACGTAAACCATCTGTTTGAGGTGCTTTAGTAGTTTCTGATGTTTTCTTGCCTTCATTTATGCTAACTCTATAACTGCCAAGGGTTTTACTTCAAGCAAAACCAAAAGCTAACTTGGAGAATTAGTGTTTGTGCATTGATCTTCTGAAGAAAACTTCAGACACTTCAGTTACTCCTCCATTAGACCAGATTTTACTCATGTAATCATGAGCAGTTCAGTAAAGGCAGTAGTATATTGGCAGTTAAAGGGGATTTCCAAGCTAGACTGCATGCTGAGATTGAAGTTGCTGAAGAATAAGTGAAACAAGCATGAGGAATTGGAGCCCAAAAAGAGCGGTCTGCAATACAAATCTATCTATGGCAGCATGAATGCAAAATGCTTCCTATTTATTCTTTTTAGTTAATATTAAAGCACATCAGCTTGCTTGCCCCGTGCATGTTTGCTGCTACACCTCACTGTACTTGAATGAAGTTGGATACCTTTCCTGCCAGGGGCAATAACAAGCACACAAAGATAAAATAAAGAACAGCATGTTTTGCCTTTGGTTTCTGCTTGAGGGTGAGCTTGCTGAGTTGTGGCTCTTCTCTAGAGCTACTGTTACTCCTAGTAAAAGACATACTGCATAATGGATTCTAGTGTAACTGTTTGCTCTCAAGAGCTGAAGCTCTATGCAAAGTACCAAAATACTTGCACTTAGATTGCAAGAGTTTGGTGTTGAGTGACTATACAATACAGATTTTTACTGATAATCCAGATTTTTTTCCTGTACTGTCCATTGTCTGAAAAACATCTTTTGGGATGCCTAAAATATCCCAGTGTTTCATCTCATTGATTAAAATGTTCTGCTCTATTTTCACTCAGTACAAAATCCTGGTGTTGAAGCTTCCTGCTATAATGCTATATATGTTCACTCTGCTCACATAATGAGCATGTGTTTTGAAGCAGTCGTTTTTCAAGGTCACTGCTGTTTCAGACAACTGTACTGCAATATGAGTCATAGAAGTTAATGACATAAACCCGTTGGTGTAAAACCACTGGCTTTTGGGTAAGCAGCAATTGGAAATGAGCAGAGTTCTCAGCTCCTTATTTTCCTTCTCTGTCTGGTCACTGTAGCCATAAAGAGGAAATGCTGGTGCAGAATTTCACTTCTCTTGTCTTTGCTCATCTGCTGTAAGGAGCAATTTTCTCATCTAAGTTCAGTGAGCCAAAGAAAAGAATCGCACTTCATTGAATCTCTGTCTAAAAGTATGGCAAAAATTGTCCCAAGCTTTGTTCTGAAGATTAAGCTCACCTTTAAAAATGCTGCATCTCTATTTTGGAATAGGCTGTGGAAAAAAGCCATAGCAAGACATTGAAAAAAATTAAAGGACAATGTAGAGTAAACACGTGGACGCTTCTTTATGACCTGACTCTGGTTCCTCAGCAGACAACATAGTTGCTAGGCTGGTGATTTGCACGGGGGCTGTGGTTTGGGGTATGTTTGCAGATGTGGATGCACAGTAGCTCCTCTGGGGAAAGGCTCAGATGTTTCTGAGTCCCATTCCCGTGACTTTCAGAGTACTAGCAGGACATTTGGGGTGCATGCTTTCCTCCAACTTTTCTAAAAAATTAAGTAAACATCATGTAGTAAACAATTCAGCAGGTGCTTTGTTTGTGTTAAGTCAGTCTTCTGAGTTCTCTGAATCTGTGAAGCTGTCAGTAGTCTTTACTTTTGGGCTTTCTCCTCAGTGCTTTAAGACTGTATTGCTGCTGTTACACAGCGGTACCAAACACAGGGACGTGACAGAAATGGGAATCTGGATCAATTCAGTACATTTAAAATGTGTGTTATAAATCTAATAATTATTTTAAACTAGAGTTTTTTCCTGTAGCATTGTAATTTTTACATTAAATATGTCTTGTTGCGCACCTGACTCTGTTTCTGGGATCTAGATGTAAGTTCCAGAAATCTAAATTAGGAAAACTTCCACCATGTTCTCTGCCTATAAATCTTTCCTCTGGGCCCATTCTCTTACTCTTACAATTGCACTTTATTACAGAGTTTGAACACTGCATGCGTTTATATTTAGAACCAGGTAGCATTTTGGCTTGAGGTGGTTTTATGTAGGAACAGAGGAACTGGTGAAACCACCTGTCAGAGTGAAGATATTTTTACCAATAAGGAGGATGACTCCAGTGATTCCTACCCCAATTATGTGTTTTACATTTGCTTGGGAAAAATGTCAGCTTGGCATGTAGTAGCAGCTGAATCACCAGCTGATAGCATAGCATTTAAAGCCAGAATTAGAAGCCAGAGATAACTATAGCAGACAGCTAAGCATTGCTACATTATAGTTGCTCCAAGAAAAGCTGCTTCTGTTTGTCATCCAGAGATAAAACAGCCTTTAGAGCTGTGGTTTTCCTTTAGGTTTTCCATCAAGACAATGGAGTAACTTAATTTCTGTTCTCATATGACTTCATAGCAAAAAAAAAGGACCATTAAATCACCCAGTATGATTTTCTGTACATTAACTGCCATTAAATATCATCTGTTCTCTGGGGTCCCAGCCCAGTAGCATACCTGACAAATGTGTGTCTCCCAGAAGAGCACGTGGTCCTGATTTGAAATGTCAAAGATGGGAAATCCACTTCACTAAGGAGTTTGTTCTGGCAGCTAATGATTCTTGTTGTTAAAATCAGTGCCCTATTTCAAATATGACTTCTCTGGCTTCATCACCCACCTACTTGTTATGTCTTTGCACTTTACGTTAAAGGTCCTTCTAGTATTCTTTAATTTTTTTCCCAGATAAGTAATTGTGCACTGCAATCAAGGAGCCTAAATGTTGGAGCCATTTTGGCTGTGTTTTTTAACATGCTAAAGAGATTGAAATCTCTGAGTTGTTTAATGTAGGCCATTCTTTCTACCTCTGAATTTATTTCTGTGACTTTCCCACACCATTTCCAATTTTCAAACTATTTTGAAGGGCACTAGAACAGCATTCCGTTATGTCTTACCAGGGCCCTACATAAACCATCTCTTTACCCCGTATCAGTATTTTACATGCATAGTTTACTGTGTATACTTAGAGTAACGTGTTATTTATCAGGTCTCAAGAATTCATCTGTGTAGATAAGTTAAAAGGTGGAAATGTGGTCTTCAGGCAAGCCACCTGTTCCACTTCCAGGTCATCTTTTGGCAGCACTGTCATGCATGCATAACAAACTAACAGAAGTATTTAGGTTGAAATGGACAACAGTAGATTCCCAGCTTCCCCAATGATAAATTTGGAACTATGTCAGCAAGTTCAGGAAGTTTGACTGAAATTGGTTCTCTGTGGTGAACTTTGCAACTTCTGGCTCTCCAGCAAGCAATGGATAAACTGGACCTATGCTTTTATACCTCACCACCATTTGTATGTTCTCTCAGATACGATTTTCATTTTTCTAAAAGACCTTGTGTGTGATATTTTGGTTTGAATATTAAATTACGGCTTAAAAAAAAAAAAAAAAAAGACATGCATGCTTTCCTTCTTCCTAAATAACTATTCACTGGTTTGAGCTAATCATTTTACCCTAACACTGTGTTCCTCCTATCCCATTTAATAAGACTATTTGTCTGGTGTTTGTATTGTAACCCTTGAACTAATGAATGCTAAAACATTAAGAATATTTTTGCTTTAATCAATAATTTGCATTCTTTGGCATCAGATCTCATTCTTACACTGAATTTACATAAGGTGAGAATAAAATCTCTCTTACAATGCCTTATTTCATGTTTAGGAAAAGTCCTGAAAACCTTAACAGTCACTCAGAACAGCTAAAGGAGAAAGAAAAGCAAGTTTTTTTCAGGGCAATAAAAAAGAAAAAGAAGAAATCTCAAACCGTAAGTATACAGTATTCCTAACAGAAAATATGTTTTTCAGTTCTGAATTATACAATTTAAAAATGCTAGATTAGTATAGTACCCTTGTATTGTTCATGATCATTCCTGTGTGTGTCTGTTTGTTCTTTTGTTTTCTCTCTTCACTATATGAAAATCAAAATCTTTTCCTGTTCAAGGTTTATTTATCTGCCTTTTCAAATATTTCTTCACCTACTAGCCCTGTGCATATTTTTTTCTTATTCAGACCCCTTGAGAGCCTGTTTTGATGCAAGTTTTCAGCTAATGTTGTGGCAGATTCTTTTACAGGACATGGTGATACCATTCCAAGAATAGCAAATGCATTATTGTGTGTCTTCAGAGCTTAAATAGTTTCAGACACCCATTAGGAGGAGGTCAAACTGTTATAAATGAGAATTCTTTTCAGTGTTTTTCATGGCATCGTTTTGATAACAGCCTCCATCTTCTTGCTGCTCCCTGTAGCTGGAATAAGAATGATGTGTCTTAACCATTCTCAGTGTTTTATGATTTGTAGCCTTTTTTATAATTGTTTTTCTAAGACTTTAGTGCCTCTTACACATTTTGACATTTTTATCTAGTTTTTGGGAGGACGACAGAACTTTCTGTTATCCGAGAGCAGTGATATATTAATTTTTTACATAGTTTTATAATTACATTCTCCCAAAGAACTGAAGTAAACTAAACATCATCTCATCTCATTCTCAAATGGCAGTTCTGGAAACAGCAAATTATTTCAAGTTTCATTTACATAAAGTTGTAGTGTTCCTGTAATTTAACTGCAGTTATCATTTTGAAGGTTCTCAGAGTGGAGTAAATCACACGCACTCCTGGCAAAGAGGAGTAACTAAATCAAAATATCTACTGTCACAGAGTGAGGTGGCGTGACTCTTGGTGTCAGTGTGGGGCTGATCTGTTGAAAACTGGGGGAGACAAGTTATTATCAGGCTTTATTTGAACCGTACAGATCACGTGCATGTGTGGGTTAACTAGCACCCAGAAGCGCACCTCGCCTTCCTGCGGGGCAGGTTTCAGAACCTCTCCTTCTCAACTTGGTCATCCTGATACCTGTACACAGTTCAAAAAATCATTTGCATTACGCAGCTGAACAAAGTGTCTACATTATAAATCTGGGATTATTTGATATCAAAATGTCCATGGAAGGATAACACACCTAAAGCCATTGGTTCCAGTGATGCATTTAAAAAAAAAAAAATAAAAAAGTGTTAAATTTGCACCGTTCTAGTCTGCTCTGATTCCAGCCATTCAGATGTGAAATGCTTTAAAAGCCCAGCTGATAGATGGTGTTTCAAATACTTCCAGATTAAACTGTGTGAAGGAAGTATAGACTGGATTTCGTTGCATTTCAAAATCCAAAAGATCTAAATCACAAGGACCGTGATCCATAGCTACCAAAGCCATCACCGATCACAAGAGAGGGTAGATCTGTACATAATCTTTATTCCTGTTTCTTCCCACTCTTAAGAGGGCTAGACTGGGGGAGAGAATTCTGTGTTCGGGAAAATTAAGTTGGCTAGGCAGAGCTAGTATCTCACAGGAAGATTAACAAATTAGTGAAATAAGGTAGTGATAAAACTCTTGCATCCTCAGCTAGAAACTTACTGACTTCAGCTTCATTTTTGGATCCAGCCAGAGACTGAAAAACCTCTTTTCATTTCTCCTTACAGCTAGGAGCTAGACAGCATCTAGGGACAAACTGTACCCACTGATGTGTGTATAAGTGTCTGGTTCAGACACTGTTCTTTGTTCTTCTTCATCTGTTAGTTGAGGACATCTACCTAACAAACATGGGGATGTTCATTAAGATCTTCCAGCACAAACAAATATTATTACCTTCAGTTCAGCACCAAGTTTGACTTCAGTTTCAAAAGCTGTTAACAGCTTTATAATATTAGCTCTTCAACTTTGTGAATAATGTTTTCTGTTAATTCTTATTAAATGTCTAAGAGATAGCTTGTGACTCGCAACGGGTGGTTTTTTTTTTTTCTGAGGCTTGTAATTCTTATACAGTCCTAGAAGTATGAAATTGCACTTATTTACTCTGACACATACTTTCTGCAGCAAATAAACTAGACCTGAGAACTGTCACAATGCTGAGAAGTAGATCATAAGTAGCTTTTGTGTACTTCTACTGTCCTTTGACCAGTCTCATTTTGGTAGTGATTGTTGTAAGAACCATGAAAGATATCTGTAATTGGAATGAATACATCTTGATAATGACATTCTCAAAATCTCTGATAGTCCAGAGCTGATCCCAGTTTCTGACACTTCCTCCTGCAGAATTGTTCCCATTAATCATTCTTCCTAGAGTCCTCCAGGTGCATATGCTCATGGGATAATAATGGTTATTGCCTGCTGGTGGAATTCTTTGCAATATTGTTTTTGCAGAGCTGTTTTTACCCATTCCCCTTTTCATCTTGTTTGGAGTCTTTTAGTACTGTAGCAAAAGGGTTTGAGGATTGCTAGAGTCACAGTTTTTGCTGTTGTCTGCCACCAAACAATTTGATATCCATGAGGGTTGCACACAGTGTCGGTAGGCACTATCTTCAGAGGAGCCTGAGCCTTGCAGATTTTGGCACATATTGCAAGCTGTGGGTCTGAAGAAATTTTCTGCTCTGGAATAAAACAGTTGCAGGTGAGCATTTCTCTTAGTGATGCTTTGATCCCTTTCTAATTTGCTGAACCTGAAACAGGAAATTCTTCTGGCCATAAAGTGCTTAAACAAGCTATGCTAACTAGTGACTCTTTCTTTAATTTGGATGGAATCTAGAAGCTGAGAAAGCTGTTCAAAATACTTCGCTTTTGGTAGTGCACTCATCATTCTGTTCAGTCATGTAATCAGTACATTGTATTAGCAAGTTTTCTTTCAGCAGGTAGAATAATGATAGACACAGCTTATGTGTCCTATGCTTGTTTGTATCTGAGCAGGGGAGAAATAGCCCAGTTCATAATTTCAGTACTTTATAGTCCTGTTTTTTTGTTTGTGCATCCATTGTTGTGAGCTTTGGGTGTGTTAACAGAAATTAAAACAGCCAGTGCCCTTGAAGTTATACATGAAGTTGTTAACAGCACATTTTTGTCAGAACTTAAATAATTCATCTTGGTGCCCTAGCTCTTTCTACAAGTTAAAAATAGAATACTTTTATTTCTTCTAGAGGTAGCTATCAACTGCTCATTCTTAAAAAGGTTGCTATTATTGTTAGTGTATCTTTGATATTTTATTTATATAAAAATAAGAAATGTCATACTGCTCTAGGACATTATTATAAGTAACAAGTGATTGCCAGAACTACGGGATTTGATCCAAAGCACAGTAAAGTCAACAAGACCTACTAGTTATTTCCAAAAGGCTTTGAAATGTACTCTGTGTTCCTAATGAACACAAATATAACAATAGGTGTACTGATCTCTTTTTACATGCTTTATATTAATTGAGTTCCTTGAATTTGTTCCATGTGCTTTTTTTGTTCAATCACTGTTTTATTTTCCCAAAGCAAATTATATCTATTATATAAATATATTGTCATTTTTTTTTAAAAAAAAAAAAGAAAGAAAAACCATTAATATCGTAAGGACACATTTCTTGAATTGAAATACTATGCATTTAGTTTTTGTATCTTATATTGCAGACAGACTCAACCAACGGGGAGAATCCAAGCATCAAGAAATCCCTCTTTCCTCTTTTTAATTCAAAGAATAATTTAAAGCATAGTTCTTCTTTGAAAAAGCTTCCTGTAGTCACTCTACCCATGGTATTAATTTTTAAGTATGGTAGCACTGTAAAATGCTCCAGTAAACTTGTTTTACTGACTACAGCAGCATGTGTTTTATTTTCATGGGATCACTTTCCCTTCATGCTAGTTAAGTATCTTGGGCCAGTTCGATAAATTTAAGTAAAAATGGCAGATATGTTGAAATAGGTTGTGCCTAAAAAGATTTTTTTTTTTAGTATTTTATATACTTAAAATGTAACATACACAGTTCCAGAGAGAATGAGCCCTGGGACTAAGATTAAAGGAAGAAAATAGTTGTGAAATCGTGTATGTTTAAAAGTAAACTGTCTCATTCTATTTCAATCTGAAAAAAAAAAAAAAAAAGGTTTGGTTTATAGCTATATTGGAGATTCATTTTTTTAATGCAAACTGCTCCTTTATATATAAATTTAATTAATCAAACATTGACAGCAGGTTATCTGAAAACCAGATTTTAGCTCATGCCTCTGCTGTATTTTTGTTTGTTCTGATTGTTCATGATAAAAGACAGCTTGCATTAAAATAGGTTATATTTTAACTGTCCTTTTTTTGCTTATTAGTCTTGAAATGAGATAGAACTCTACATAAATTTTTAAATTTTCCTTCTGCCATAAATTTTGTTGGATTTTCAGCTTGAGGGGTGGGGAGGAGTTCCTTAATTTTTGCTGTAGTTTGGCATATTTGTGGAGGCGAAGAAAGATGGGCAAAGTAAAAGCTCTTGGTTTTCTGATGGCAAAATCAGCCAGACATTGGTTTAGAGAGATTCCGGTCTGCTTCACTCAGAAGTAAATTTGTAGAACTGATCCATGGTCTTAACTGCCGTATGGAATGCTTTTTAAGTAAAGATGAGGCTCAACAATTTTTTCCTTTTTTTTTTTTTATTTTTATTTTTTTGAAGCCTTGTTTAACTGCTCTCTCTTACAGCAAATAACACTAACAGCATGTGAATGCTTTAAGGGCTAAGGGTATAGCAAATCTGCATGATATCTACAGCCACTTGCTCTTACTACGTGGAAAAATATTAAAAGGTCATTTCAATTCTGCTGCAGTAATGGGCTTCACTTGTGTTCTGTAATTAACTGGGGGCAATGATTTGCCACTATTCTTAGGAATATATTATGAGACCAATATTTAATATTTTGTTGCAGATGCCTAGCAGTGATGGCCAGGATCTCTTGGCATTACAGAAAGCCATTCATTCTTCTAATCACCAGAGCAGCAGGCAGAAGGATTGGCATCCTGAGAAGATAACAGAAATCCAGCCTCCTGTAAGTGGCATTATCAGTTCCCTCTGTTTTAACATCACTGAGGTATCTTGACAGCTTTTTCTCTAGTGAATGAAAAAAATTGCACTAGAAATTATTTCTCAACCTTTCCATTCCCCATTTATTGAATGTAAAAAAAGATGTGCCTGCAGTCCTGCATAATTCTTTTGAAAATCTAGACATGAATGACACCGAAAAGAAGAGAGACTAAATGTCCCTGTGGCAGTCTTTGAGCCTTTCAAAATACTGGTTCTGTTTTTGTATTAGAAGCAAGCAACGTTTCAGTGCACATCTGTGGTAGCTATGCAGTGCTGTAGAAAAGCCCTCAAGTTAGCTCTGCAAGGAATGGTGAATCCTGAGGGTGCACTGCTACTTGACACAGTTTGGCAGCTGATGGGCTCACCAGAGCATCGTGACCACGTTACAGTGCGGCTCTGCCTCAGCTGGCACAGACTGCAGTTTAAGCAGGCTGCATTATTGGAGCATAGCACTGCACTAAGGAAACTTTTTTTCTCCAGTTCTAAACCCAGCTGGGGGTACAGGGTTTAGACAGGAACTTCAGTGCCATGCTCTGTTGCCTCTACAACAGGGAAAACAGCAAAGGAGGCTTTGTTGCAGCTGCAGCGTTTGAAGAAGCAAGTTGGTCTCTGAGCTGTGGAATTCAATGAGGCTGTTTTCCCACCACTTTGAGTAGTCAGGCTTCCCCAGGCTCTCGCTAACCATTTCAGTAACCCCATGTCTCCCTTTTTCCTTCAACCTGTTCATCAGTTAAATCTGTGAGGGACTAGAGCAGCTTATTGCCAAGCTGCTGGCGAGCAAAGTATCTTAACTGCTGAGTTCTGTCAGCCCTTACTTCAGTACAGATTATTACTCAAGACTCTCTCTCTCTAATAAAATTTTGAGGAACTTGGTATTTCTGATATCTGTGCCTGATAAAGCGTGACTAGAGTTAATAGCAGGACTGGTGACAGATGGACAACTAATGCGGTTGTCTGTGCCTCTGTTTTCATAGGAAACAAGGTTAAAATAATTGATTGGAACAATTTATTTTTTTTTTCTCATGTAGAAAAGGTTCCATCTTTTCAGGTAGCTAATAGAGTGAATCATAATGAGAAGACGACATTTTCTCAGGTGTATAGTCATAGCTTGGAATGAAATATTGCAGAGGAACACAAATAAAAACTGAGGAAGTCCAGTGTAGTTGAAGATGTTCTGTCTAGGCTATGACAGTTTTTTTCTAGGAAGTCTGATATGGTGGAGAGCAGGTGGTCAAGTGCTTCTCCACCTCTCTTTCAGAGCCAGCCTTTAAAATCCCTTCGAAAGCTCTTACACCTCTCCTCTTCAAATCACCCTGTCCCCGCTGAGCCTCGCTTCCAGCCCTTACCAAGTCAGCCAGCCAAAGCCCCTTTTCCCGAAGTGCGGATTCACCCCATGAGTCAAAGCTCCGGCAGCGGCGGCAGCAATGTGCGGCAGGAGCCTCAGCCGAAGAGCAGGCCGGCGCTGCAGATCCCAAGCCAGCTGGAACCGACCTGGCACGTCTCCCCCGTGAACAGGGGCGCCAGTGATGGGCCCCCCTACTCTGACCAGCTGCCTTCCAAGAGCGGACAGAATGGGCCCACGTACAACCGAACGAACCGGTCGCGGATGCCGAACCTGAATGATTTGAAAGAGACAGCCTTGTAATTGCGCTCCAGAACACGGGCCGCTTTGGGTGGAGATCAGCGTAGGGGAGTGGTGTGGTGGTTCTGGTGATGGTAAGACTGCATTTTCAGCTTTATAAAGGTGTGCAATATGTACGTGTGGAGCTATGCCATTTGGCACCACGGTGAGAGTCAGGGATTATTCAGTAAACCGAGTTGAATTATGAATTACCAGTCATCAGAAATGTTGCTGGATCTCAGGCAGAGTGTGCCGGTCAGGGAGAAAAATGCGTTGCCATTTTCTCTCACTTACATTCCAGCTTAGTGCACATCTCTGTCTGAAAGCTGGGAGACTTCTGGTATGTATTGGCACTGATAAGGGTGAAAACATTCATGTCTAGACCTATGCCCTTACTGCATTTTTTGCTGCCTAGTTAAAACGGTGGGATTTATGTGATAAAAGTGTATCCCCGTGAAGGGTTTAAAGTAAATTGTATGTCTTAAATTTGTTTTTTAAACTTCCATATTTGATAGGATTTGTAATATTTATTTATGATGACCTAATATCGTACTGTTATAATCATATCTTTTATGTTATAACGTAAAGTTATTTTGAGCTGTTTGAAACATTGTGAAGCAGTGCAACAGCTACAGTAGTTTCTATAAAAAACTAACAGTAACATTTATATATTGCATCGGGAGTATTTTATTCTATACATATATATAAATGGAAAATAACTGTCTGTTTTTTAAATATACTCATTTAAAAGAAAAGTATTGTTATGACACTATCTGCCATATTTTTATACATTTGTGATATAAAGTGCAGTATTATACTTCTAATAAAAGGAAGTTGAATGTGGATATAACCGTGACTGTAACAGTATGAATCTTGCTCAGCTATGAGAGCCTGGTATTATAGGCATTACTGGTTAACAAACAAAAAAGAACATTGAATTCCAAGCTTTGTTATGGGTGTTTTGTTGGAAGTATTGGCTAAATGTAAGAGATTGCAGAACTGTACAGAAATCTAAATGTGGTATGTTCTCCCCTGTGTCCTTAGCTTTCCTAGTAATAATAATGGGATTTCTGCATCAAGAGCACAGAGACCCAGTACCAAATTTTTGTTTCTTCTAAAAAGGTAAAGTGCCCCACGACTACAAGCTAAAGCAGGTGCTCTTCCACTCAATAGCAGGGGTGAAAACCAAAGAAACATAGCATGTATTGCAAGTGAAATGCCAAACTTCAACACTTACGCATAGCATGGCGCTGCAGATCATGGTATAAGCTTTTATGCATATGTGTATTTTACATCTTGTTTAGCAATCTATTAACTACTAAGATAAACACTGTATTTAAAATTAAACTACTCTTGCACTTTTTATTATATTTCAGGATGTATTTAAAGCTACAAATCTGATATTTGGATATTGAGGGAGAAGGTTGCCATGAAGCTTAATTTCTCTTTAGGTCTTACTGTCTGAATATTCCTGTACATGGTTCAGGTACCCCTCTCAGCAAAATACTAGATCTTGGGTTCCAGTCCTTTGTACAACATTGTTAAAACTGACTTTATATTGGTCAATGTCAAGTATAGCAAATACACAACCTGATTCCTCTGTTGCTACTGGTAAACTAAATCAAAGGTGGGCCAGCAGGAGTCAAAACTGTTACGCCAGTCTAACATTTGTGCAATAAAAGGAGAGTCAGGCCTCTAGTGTCAGAACAATACAATCTTCCCTTTTTAAACACATTAGTTCAACTCTCTCATTGCTCTGCAGCATAGTTCATTTTCTAGATGCTGTCCTCATAAGACACTTGTACTTGCAAATACATTGTCTTTTCCAAAAAGAGATTGATCTGAATGTAAATTTTATGATTTAGCCATAGAAGCATGTAGTTGACAGAAGCAGACAGGTAGTAAGAGCTGAACTTCCTACCTGGATAACAATGCAAACTGGATGTGCTGTTCAGTACCTCTTGAGTCATACTAAAGTTCTAACAATGGCAAATTTGGCACCATTACTCTAAAAATCCTTGTCAGAAAGTACAATATGAAAGGATGTTACAGCAGGTTCATCCAGGGCTAAAAGTGAGTCTAGTAATTGGAAAAACTACAAAACAAGAATACTTCCTTTGTCGATGGCCTGCAAGAAATGTGCATGTGATTTTCTACAGATAGCTATGATGTATGGTATCTAGCTATATATGATATATACCATGCTGATATATCATATATATAGCATATATAAATACAGTATTAGACATGGAAGGGTATTCAGTTTTTGGTAAGTTCAATGGGCATCCAGGAGAGACATTGTGATGTTTACTAGTCATCATTAACAGAGTTTAGAAGTATATTTTAGCAATCTCTTTTGGATTCACCAGTTGGTAATGACTAGGTTAGTCCTGTTAGTCCTGCTTTGAGATGGGCTGATGCCCCTGAAATCCCTCACAGAAGCAGTGCTCTGGGAGTGGGATTTTAAGCAGTACAGCTTGGATGTTTCCAAGGGAGCGCCCAGAGTAGACTCTTTGGTGCTTTGTGCATATGTGTCCTTTTGCCTCTGCAAGACTTTTAGCTTGCTGGCAGGAGCTTCATGCTGGGGATGATGATGCTGGGCTGTATGTGGCTGTTCTGATTTCTAGCAAGGAAAACTGTTTTCGAAGGATTTTTTTTTTTTCTCAGCACCCATTAAGTTAAATCAGGGTAATCTCTGACTGTATATATAGCTGTTTAAAGTAGTTAGCAAAGCTTCAAGGGTGACCCAAGGAATGTTCAACTATTTGGTGGCCCATATTTACAGAAAGTTGTTTCTACTTCATACTGTATTTTCTTCTTGAATTCAACAAACCGTAGTCAATCTGAGTTGAATACTAAATTGTGTTGAATGTATGTAGAATTTTCTTCCTTCTGTTGGAAAGAAGTTCCAGCAGCTCAACCAGCTGGTGCTGGAATAAACTGTGTATTTTTAACCTGGTCTAACTTCCCAGTATGTAGAATATTGCTAATGTAATTTTGCTGAGGCTTCCAAAGGAGTCTTATTACAGTGACTGAGATATGCTGGCTCAAATAAAGGGGAAGAGAATTACAGAGCAAACGATTTTTTAAGTGTGAGCTTTTCACTGGTCTGTGAGTCTTGTATTACATGTTCTATAGATTTGCTTAGTATAAAGTATCTTACTTAAACTGCATTTTATTCTTTGGCAATCTGTTTTGCCTTATGGCATCATTAATGATGTGAATAGAATTATAGTCATTTTTCAGAACTCAAGCTGCCTAAACTTGTGTATATGTTTTTACTATAGCTCTTGAGCTCTTTTTAACTAAAAAAGAAGCACCTTAAGTTCATCTTAACTGAAATTGTAGATGTGTTTAAGCTGTCATTTTAAACTGCCATGTAAATGTATTAACCTAGAGCAACATTTTTTTTTCAACACACCTGACCATAGAGAACAATCCCTCAGAGCTGTTTTAATGCTTTTTGCTCCATTTATTGCAGTCCATGTTTGTTGCTCCTCTGAGAAGTCACCAGCATGGAGCACCGAGCAGAGTTCTTGGCAGGATGTCAGTGATCCCAGATTCGGTTCCTTTTTCTAAGAACAGTCTCCATTCCACAGGACTTGGGACTGATACCAAGCTTTATTTCTGGTACCAAGCCAGACCGCCCTAAATGTGTGGGGCCTGACAGCACTCTCTTTACAGATACTGGCTCTTTTACATAACTATTAAGGCAGGCTTCGAACTTCCAAACATACGAGACATGCTGAAGTTGTCCTTAGGCTTGTGGCCTTTCTCTTTGCTACACCAACTTGTTTCTGGGAGCACAGCTGGAGTGATTCTTGAAGAAGCAGTGTCCTGTGATAGGCTTTTAGCCATTCCTTATCATTGCAGTTCGGTCTCTTAACAGATGAATCCTATTAGTGTAAAAATTTACACATCAGCCTTTTATTTTTTTCTTCAAAAACCGCTGCAGCTATTAGCTGAGTAGGGCCCTGTGTTCACCCAGAAAAAGCTATGTATCATTAACAATTCAGTGCTGTAGACCTCCCGTTCACCTAAGAATGGGAACACAGATTGTATAGCTCTGAAAGCGCTGTTGTGATCAATTTAGCTAAGGCAAAACCCATCCACTTTTGAGAGGAGCCATACCCTGGAAGTGTTTGGGGGTTTTATTCATGTTTCAGTTTTTTGTTGCCTTATAATGTTTTGATAGTGAGACACGCTTCAAAAAATATCTGCATGTAATTAATTCTCTGTGTGTTGAACACTGTCAGAGTAGAGCTGGGAGAGTATTCGGATCCCAGTCACACAAAGAGTATGAAAAGGATAGCCATATAAAATAGACTGCAAATTGTGGGGTGGCAATGAATGTTTATTTTTTCCATTCCAGAGAGCATACATACTGCATCTATTAATGGGATTATATCATAAACCATGCATCTGGGCTGTTGTTCACTTAAGTTAGGCCCACCATTCGAAATAAGATAGGAGTCTCACAGAAGATGACTGGAAAGGTGATGTGCCCTATTTAACCATTTTTAAATGGCCTTCAAATCAGGATGCTATTTAAGAACAGGTGCCTTGCCCTACAGAGGTTTTTCTAATGGTGTCATGATATCAACCATTCATTAACTGGGTTTGTAGTGAACAAGGAGAAAAGCCATTTAACTTCTGGCCTTTGTTTAACGGGAAACTATTTGAGTCAACCCTTTTAATATAATACAGCTTTGAAGTTCTAGATGTTGGCTCCTTTCTCAAAGGGTCAAGCAGCAGCAGCAGGGCATCACTGCTTAGGCTCATCAGGCAAGTGAGGGCTTGTGCACATCACTTGGTTCAGATGTACTGAAACTGAAAATGTCTCATTTTGCAGTCATGAAGCAAATTTACACGAAAATTAAGCAACACAGATTTTATAGGGCTTCCTCTTCCAGCTGGAAGAAAATAGATGTGGTAGTTCATCTGTTCTCCCAGTGAACTGTCTTAACAGAGACTGCATGAGACAGCATAGGTAAATCTGATGGATTAAGTCTGAATTTTACTTG